AATCATAAGATTTCCTACTTTTTTTCCTAAAAGTTTTCTATTTTAATTTAAATTTGTGATCCATTTTAAGTTTTATATCAAGTGTGTGACAGTTAGGGAGAGATTCACATATGTGCATCCGATAACCAATTGCACCAGCACCCTTTGTTGGAAAGACTATCCTTCCTCCATTAGGTTGTTTTTGCGCCTTTGTCAAAATCAGTTGATGAGACTTTCCACCAGTATCATAGTCTTGATTACCGTACTCTTGAAACAGGGTAGAATGATTCCTCCCACTTCAATTTCACTCTTTAAAATAGTTTCAGTCATTTCAGTTCCTTTGCCTTTCTAATAAATTTTAGACCTTTCTTCTCTGTCGTTTCAAGGGGTTGTGGGGATTTGGCAGAAGTTGCTTCCAAGCAGATGAACCAAAGCCAGGTACCTGTGAACTGAGACCTCCCACTAAACCAGTGGCTTTGTTTCAGGCAGTGAAGTTGGGCAGATAATACCCCCAAAAGGAGTAGCTACTAATTTTTCATGTAAAATCCAAACACTGCTATCGTCAGGCCAGCTGTGCTCCCAAACATACCATTTCTGTTGGACCCACAAGGCCTGCTGGGCCCAGGTTAATTCTCCAAGTGCAGTTCACCCCTGGAAAAGGAAGATGTTACACCAGATGACACACACAGGGCCTCATGGGGCTGGCACTGCATTTTAACTAGAGCCTAGGGTCAAAATAGCTGCCTTTCTCCAAAATGGGTGTACTTGGGGGCTGCGTCAGGCAGGTGGCGATGTTGCGCTGGGAAATGGCCCAAGTGCCCGGGTTGCCATTAAGTCATTAACAAAGGGAGTGATTTCCAGTAACTGAAAAAACTAAAATGTGACATACTAACAAATTTGTTCACTACTGATGCGACTACATTTATATGCAACATGTGGACTTTAGTATTATAGAATATGGCCTTTATAAACTGGTTTACACACAAATAAAGTTACTCTTGGCTTATCTGTCCTAACCTACGAAGTGTTTGTTGCACTAATAAACCTTCTCTCATAGCTTTTTACTATGTAAACAGACAATTTCTCCCTTAAGACAACGTTAATGGTATCCGGATTCTAGGAAAAATAAAGGATACTGGAGGTTGGAGAAAAAAGGTGATTTCACTTTCTCCTCCTGGGCTTCTGTGTTGTTTCCGCTGGACCCCCAGAGGTGAGGCAAGGAGGAAGGCCAGGGAGTGATCTAGGCCCACCTCTCTAAACATGGCCACCCCTGAACCCAAGAACCCACCCAACAATTATGAGACCGATACTTGCAGGCATGTAGCACATTATTTGCATTAGATGTTGGATTCGAAAACCACATTACACTGAATCACCCAGAGGGCCCGACCCACAAGGGAAGCCCTCCTTCCCCACTACTGTGTCCAAAGGCTTTTTTTCCCAGCTGAGACTAAATGTGTGTTAGTCAGGAGCTACCATGAGGTGACAAATGGGTGGCAGGTCACCCCATCCCCTAACCAAGGGGGGAGGTTGCCTGGGACTGGGAAGGCTAGCCTGTGCGGAGGAGCTGTAACTGCGGTCATTTTTCTCCTTCGGCCCCGTGCGCCAGCGGCAGTGTCTGCACCCGAGCACACCCACCTCTCCCGCGGCAGTGGTGAGGCCTGTCAGTGTCCAGCCGTAGCCTCTGGCATCCTGTGTCACTCCTGCACCCAGCACTTCACCCTCACGGCTGGCTAGGTCAGGTGCGGGTGCTGTGAGGGCAGCCTGATCTGCACCTTCAGGCAAGGCTTTGCATTCACTTAAGCGTTTGGATAGTTTTGACTACTTGCAGTCCAACCATATGAAGGCCTCATGGTTTTGGTCCACTCAAAGCTCTCAAACAGCAAGCTCTTATTACTGATACACTTATTTCACGTTTGGGGACCCCCTGACTCAGCAGCCATACCTAGCTTTCAGGTAGGGCTACGGGAATTTTTGACTCCTTGTCATGAAAACATTCTTTCTCTGCTTGTTGGCAGGAATTAGCAACAATCAAGGAACCATTTGGACAGCCTGTTTTAGTCCTACCTCTTATCCCTAAACCTTAAAACATCAGCTCAAGTCCTGTTCAGTAACAGGGAGGCCAGTGAGAACCCTTACCCCCCGCAACCTGTTACCTGTCACTTGGGTGAGAGTATTCACTACCACAGAGATTTCAGGGTCCCATGTTCTCAAACCTGGCCCATGATTCCTCTTCCAGAAAACCATGTTTGTCGGCATTCCATCCTGTCAAACCTGTTGGGCCTGGGAGTTCATTTTACCCTGCTCACAAATCAGCAAGTTAGCCTGTCACAGTTTCGCGGATGCCAACAGAAGTAACGCGATTCCTGGGTCAGAGGCAGAGGGCTTGGTCACCTACAGCAGAGCACGCAAAATGAACACCAGCATATTTGTGTCAGTTCCCTTGTCCCCAGTTCCCCAGGAGCAATACCTCGGGCCCGGACAACCGCCAAGCATGCAGCGGGTTTGTGCTGCAGCTCAGGAACTCCGAGGGTCAGGGACGCAGTTCTTCTGCATTAGAGCAAGCCTGCTCCCTGTGGTTATTAGTTGCATAAATGGTCCAGACAATTCTGTTGTCAGGCCTTGCAGTTTTGGCACACCCAACAAGATGTGTAGGTGCAACAAAACTCAACTTCCTTGTCCAGTAATTAACCTTTTCTATATTGTGTTTTGTTCACTCTTTCACAACTACTGCTCTCAGCCGTCTGTAAACTGATACCTCGTGTAGGCTAGGCCCTTGTGCAACAGCTGGCTAAAAGACAGTATAGAGCCTGATCAAGAATATTTCCAATTGCAGTTTTAAAGATTGAAGAATGATAATTCCTTCAAAAGTTTGGCCACCACTCCATTTGTCAGCCACCTGTCAGACCTAAATGGAACAGACAGCAAGAGCAAATTTTTCTGGTCTGTCTTTCTTTAAGAGGTTTAACTACTGCCAGTTCCTAAAATAAGGACAGTCATATAATAGTCTAGAAAGAGCCAATTTCATCTTTCTAGAAAGAAATCTATTCTGGGGTATAAAATGCTCAGTGTGAAAATATTAGGCACTAATCAGTTACATGTAAAAACCAAATTAATTCCATCATATTTGAGGGAATTTAATTTGAAGAAAATCAGCTTCCTGACTTGGTAAAAACAAAGTCTATAATGTAATGAGACAAAAGTGAAATAGTTTAAGTAATAAATGTTTAATCAAAGAATTTTACATATTATTAACAGCATTCATTTGGCCAAACATCTACACGGTTGTAGAATCCTACTGTATATAAAGTGGGAATGTATCAAGTATAGACTATGAAAGTGCAAATAACAAGTCAAGGTTAGAGTAATTTTTTTTAACATTATAAAATTAACTTGTTTACAAAATAGGCTTTGCCAAACTTTATTTCTGAATTGTAAAGTCAGTGACTTGTTTTTAAAATATGTACCAAGGAAATACAAATTGGCTAATGATTTTTTCTCATGCTCAGGAGAGAACAGCACAGAAACGAAGGGTACTTACTGCACAAGGTGCAAGGAACCAGAACTCACCAGGAACACAGGCGCCGGCACTGTCTCCACACAGCACTTTCTCATTGACTGCAGCTTTGCAAGACAGGCTCAAAAGGATACAAAGACTCTTTCTTTTGAAAAGTTACAATTTGGTCTAAAAACTGATTAGTGTTGAATTCTTAATCCAAAATAAATTTGTAAAAAAAATCCTTCAATGGACTATTTCAGTTTGATATACAGTAATACACCATACATAAAAGTTAATATTTACCCCAACAAATTTTAATAGGGGTTGATATCAATGTTTCTGATAACTGGGGAAATAAAAACTAATGTGGAATTGTAAGCTCCGTAGCATAGGAACAATTCCCACAGTTTTCTATCCCAAAGGAACCTGGGGAATATTAAATAATACAATGTCCTAGACAAGCGAATTCCAAATATAAGAATATTTCAAAAGAAGGGTTTGGGAAATAAAAAGTAATCAAAAACTGTAATTATAATTCATGTGGATATCAATACTAATATAACCTTTTACCCAGCCCAGGACTTGCCTGTACAAACTTGGTACTGAAATTTTGGTATCTGTAGATTTCTGGTAAGAATCTGGCAAAACATTAAATGGAGTGTTGCATATCTATTTTGCTTATGTTATGCTAGTTTTGATAATATGTAAGTAAAACAGCCATTCCAACAGTTTACTCTAGTTTTAATTACACACTATACCATTGTATCTTAATTACAACTAAGACCAGTATTTTCTTCACAGTAAGACACTGATAACTAGGAAGTTGATTTTTTTTTTGAACACTAAACAGTAATCACACAGCAAATGAGTATTGTGCAACAGAACAAACACATGTCAGCATCTGCTATTTAGGCAAACAAACTGATCGAATATTTAGTTGTTATGTTAACTGTAAAGGCAAGGCCATGGGTGGTTTTATGGAGGTCTTTGCAATTCATAGCATAGTTATTTCAGAAGACATTGAAGTTTGAATGACTCACTTATTTAACTGGCAACTATCCATTTAGGTTAGGCAAAGGCACAGTAACATGTTGCGCAGGATGTTTTATTGGATTTTTTAATAATTGTGGGATTTACCATAACTCATGAAAACTCCACTTTTTATTTTATAAAACACTTACCATTAAAAGTAATTGCACCCATTAGTAATTAGAATGCACTGTAAAATTGTGAAAACAAAGAACTATGATTGCACTTCCAATAAAGTGTCTCTTAAAATACAGCACCGCTGTTGCTAATCAAACATATTTTAATATTAAAATAAACTGTTTTTAACAGCAGCATTAGGTTTAGTTAACTTAAGCTACAGGCTACATTTATGTAAATGCAGTCTCCATGGCAACCAAAGCCCATTAAGTCGGATTTTCATTGCTACCCACAGCGCCTCGTACTCCAGAGCACGCCGGGCCGCCCTGGAGCCCTCAAGGACACCCCATGCCTGTGCGCCTTCTTAGCGCACGAGTCAGAGTTTGGCACTAGTGGACTGTAAATAGACAAGAAAAGAAATTTTTGACTCATGTCAAAATGAAAACTAATTACATGGTAGATGCAGCACTAAAGAGAAGCTTTGGACACTTCGATTCACACTGCTCAGACAAAAAGGCGGGAAGAAAGTTATGGAAGAGCACAAAGAGATTGAGGAACTCAATGTCTGGTACCAGATCTGTCCAAAATAACTTCTAAAATGAAGATTCTCCCCACCCCTTTTTTTTAAAACCACCCGAGGGTTAAGGAGTAAGCCTTTAATTTTAATGTTCAACCTAAGTATTGCCGACCTTAGGCTAAACAGAGGACTGCATTTTCTTAGAATGTGGAATCTAATCTCCTTACTCCCATTTGTGTTTCTCTTTTTCTCCTGCTCTTCTTTCTGTCAGCAAAAAAGGGACAGCTATCCAATTAAATAAAAGAAGCTCCCTGTGAGGTTAACTCCAAAATGAAGCTACCATCTGAGGGAACTCCTCGTATTCAATCCTAACGCCAGTGGTTTAGAATGGAGTTGGAACTAAGGGGATCCAGTCTCTATAAAGCACACTGCACTAGCATACCACCTGCACCTGCGATTCATCTGGAGCCCAGAGGTGCGCAGCTCACACTAAGTGTACTTGTTCAGCCCAGTCACTTGAGGTTTGAGGTGTTTGACCTGAAACATCTGAACCACCCTCCTTGTTGGCTGCCTCATTACCACTTTTGCCAGCTTGAGATGCTGCTTCCCCAGCTCGAATACTCTCATCCAAAGAGTTTTCTTCTCCTTTCTGGGTTCCTCTACCCTCACTGACCACAGCATCTTCAAACACGGGATCTTCTGGCGGCACCAGCTCCACGTCCCTCATACCTTCTGACCCATCTCTGACACAGGGGGGCTGGGAATCTGCACTGATTTCTGTTGCCGCTGGAGGAATCAGGGCAATAGTCTGAGGGTTCATGTCGTGAAACCAAGCCATTATGTTGCCAAGAAGATTGTCATTGATGTTGGCATCCTGGCCAGCTGAGTCAGGGTCACTGGATGAGGGACAGAATTCGCTTCTTGCCTCACTGAGAGGGTGCGAACTCAGGGTGTCAGGTGAAAATGGGTCACTTTCTGCTCTTAGCCTCAGGAGGCTGTCGCCAAGTTCCAACAGCTCAGAGCTGCTTAACGCAGCTGGAGGGCTCTCTGTGTTCCTAGGGACAGAGTCCAGCCTGGAAGATGAAGTAGTGCCTATCGCTCCTAAGGATGCTTCATTACTGAGGAAGTCTCTATTTCCTTCATCGGTGGCCAGCCCAGATTCTTGCAGTGACAACTGTATTGCAAGAAGTATGTTGGGGTCATCTTCATCCAAGGAACTCAGAGCCTTAGGGCGACAGAAAATAAAATCACTTTAAAATTTAAAAGGAAAAATGATTTAATCCAGAGAGGTTTACCATTGTATTTTTAGCCTAACAGATAATTAATATAACCACTATTTATTCATTTATATTTTTTATTTCAACAGTTTACTTTTACTGTATTTTCCCCATTACCTCTATTTATACAGAATTATTATTTCTTCTACCCAAATCTTATTTTAGTTTTCTCTTTGTCCATGTTATAGGGGAAACAATTCCTTATGATAAATCTCTTTTCCTTTAGCACCCCCCAAAACAATTTAGCATGGAAGGAAGACAAAGGGAAGCAATAAGAGTGAAATCAGGAAACCAGGCTAAACTGAGCAAGAGCAGAAGCAGGGGCCACAGGGCTGGCCAGCAAAGCTACCTGGAGGGAGTCCTGGTTCTCCGAGCGGCTGGCGGAGGTGAGGTCACGCACGGCAGAGCTGTGCAGTACACTCATGGATGCAGAGCTGACCACGGAGGGACCCGGCCTGCGGCCACTGCTCCCTTCTGGGAGATCTGCTTCAAAGTGATACCAGAGACAATCCGGTCATGCAGATTTCATATATCTTTTTAGTTAAATTGGCAATTTCTCTTTCAGTGCTGGTGAAAACCTGTGTTCACTTATTCACCTAATCTTTCAGATTTCTCACGCATATTTATCTCACCATGAACAACAATATATATCTCAGGCTATTTACACCCATGATTATTCTTTGCTTGCACTACATATGTTCTATGCAAAAATGCCAATGCTATCACTTCCCAACCTTTTGACTAAGATCAAGAAATGCCAATGTTACCATCCATTCCCCTCTGTTTTCTTAAGCAATAATAAGTAAAGGTGTTTCAGCTTTCAGGGTTTTAGTTATTTATTTTTTAAAAAGATTTTGGGAACTAAAAAAAAAGCCTGAAGAAAAATATCTTTAGGCCTGTCGATCCTGATTTACTAAAGATAATCTGCTGACATTACAGTTTAAAGACTTTCAATTATAATTTAAAATTTAAAGGTTGATAATTAAAATAATTTCTAATATCAGATATTTTCTCTTTTAAAGAGTGCTTATAGGAGAACTGAGGCTAAGAAAAAAACATCTCACGACAGCTACAATTTATGAGTGCTCATTAGGTACTTTTCATGCTTAAGGATTTTATATGCATAATCTCATCTAAAGCCCACAATTAGCCCCCAAGTGGCACTATTAGTATTGCTTCTTTAAAATGTGGAGACTGAAGCTTAGAGAGAGGTTCAGTGACTTGATTAAGTGTCACCCTGATAAGCAGCAGAGGTGGGGTCATGAACCCAGATCTGATCCCGCAGCCCATGTTCTCAGCTCCCCTGGTTTCCGTATCCTATGACAGTAAAAAACAGCTACACGTTTATTGCATACCTAAATTACAAACCTTTGCAACCACAAACTCAGTTTTAAGAATCAATTCAAGAGAACTAAGAGATTCAACCCTATCTAACCCAATAGCTCACCTAAGGTGTTTTCACTGGGCTCGTCAGGGTCTGGAGGGTTACTAAGCAGACTGTGCACGTCTCCTCGGCGGCGCTGCTGTCTGTGCCTCCTCCGATACTGAAATTCAGCATATTCCTGCATAAACCAAAGGTTATAGAATACAGGAGAGCATGCAATTTTTTTAAATGCAAATGAAACAAACAGCACACTTTTCCAGGAAAAAGAAATGTGTGATTTTATATACATGTTATAAAATCACTTGAATTTAGAAAAAGAAACTTCAGGTTGCGCCATGCCAAGGAAAAAGAAAAGGGAACATGGAAATATAAAAATTTTAGGTAGTCACTACAATTGCCTGGGTAAATTGGGAATACTTGCAAGCTCCAATGCTAGATCGCAACTGAGCCATATTTCATGTGCCTAGGTCTTGTTATTTAGTATTATAACTAATCCTGTAATGATTTTACTAACATATGTTAGGATCTCCTTGGAGGTCTGGTTTGTAAAAAGCAATCGTGATATCAACAACAGAAAGAAAGAAAAGCACACACTGTTAAATCTGTGTCAGATTGTTAGATTTTATATTTTGTGGGACCGTAACATATCACACTCACAAGTCAAATAACTAGATAAAGAGAAAAATGTGAGGTTAGCTTTAAAACGAGATGTTGCTTGGCTTCCTCCCTACATTAGCTAGCAGGTGGGGTTATCTGCAACACAGGCAGGGGGAAATGTTTTCTATTTAACAAATGGGAAGAACACATTTTGGGCAGATGGCCCTGAGTTCATTTTACATTTGTGATAAGAGTTTAAAGCGGGTTTGCTATTGCAAAGGGCAGAACCAAATTTTAGTGACACAAGAGATGAGAAGAGAGGCCAGTGTGCATGAAACCAACACAAAACGGCTAATTTTGAGAATCATTATAGATTCTTTCAGTGATAAACACTAAGATACTCAGGTTTATGGTTATCCTGGTTACCCCTGAATACTCAATATACTTATATTTTGAAAGTACTAAAATAAACAATGGAAAGTTTTACATCGCAAGTAAAACATTCATGTCATGTCACTCTGGTTAAATTTATTTAAAACCCTTCATCTGTATAAGCAGTTGGACTCTAGTAAGAAGTGACAGGCATCCTACCAGGTTAGGAACAAATGCATAAAAGATACAAGTGCCTGGAGGGATTATGTAGGTTCTTCAAAATTTCCTGCTAAGCTGGGGTCTCACATTCTCTTTGCCTGGAGGCCTAGGATCCCAAACTGGGTAACTGTTATGTGTCATCATGGTTCACTGGACCACCGAGGACACACATTTCACAGACAAAGATGACATGAAACTTTTATCTCAGTTCAAGACTTACATTTAGGGGCAATTTGTTTACTTTGTATATTTCATAATGGTACAAAGTTATTCTGAATTAAATAAACTATTACTGACCACAGAATAGTTTCCTTAAATTAGAAATATATGTAAACAGTTTAAAAACAACTGTAAAATAAATCTGTTATATAATTTTTCTGATAGAAAACTCACATGGCATTCTCTCAGGATGCAACAAGCTTAAAAAACTGTTCTCATAAAATTAAACTTATCTTAAAATTTCCAAGGATTCCTAAAATCTTCAAGTAAGCACATGAAAAGGCTTTAGTTGGGATATTCCAAATGGTTTGAGTGTTTAGGCTACAGAGAAGATTAAGAGGTTGTAAGATTTATAGGAAAAAAAAGCTGCTAGGACTTTTTTTGTTTTAAATAATAATCACTACAATTTACTCAGCCCCAATTTTGTCAGTGATTTAAAGAGATGCTCTAATCCTGCCAGAACTCCATGATATCACCATCCACATTTTGAAGAAATTAAGGAAGAACATAGCCCACAGTCTAATAAGTTATAGAGCTAGGTCTTGCGTTTAGGTATCCCACAGACTTCAAGTTATACTCTCCTCTGGGATCCTCTGCCTTTGAAGTGGTACAACACAAATAGCTATGCTGGTCATTGACTCATTCAGTTTAATTAAAAAAGAATAAGATGGAATGAACTTTACTGAAAAAGATATAAATTCAACCTAAAAGTCTACTGGAGTTTGGCAACATTATATTTTTCAGAGTGCATATAAAGGCATAAAGCTAACTTTTAAAGATAAAATTCTGGTAGTTAACTTGATAGTTGTACACATGCAAAATTTTAAAGTTTCACACTGTGTGGACATTCTTTATACTTGCAATAAGGCTTACATAAAAGCTTGGTGCTTCAATGTGCCAAAGACTTTAAAGAAGAGAAAAGTAAAAATGAGTTAAATAATTCTTGTAAAATTTATTAACTCATAAAAAATAAATTTAAGAGGGAACTGTTATACTTTCACAATTCTCAATCTCTAGAGAATAAAAGCTCAATGATTTTATTTATAAATATTCACATGTGAGTTGGCAAGCCTTCCTATTTTTTACAAAATAAATCTGTCAGTCAAATTAGCAGGTCCTAAATAGTCAAGGACAAACATTCCAGGATTCCTAAAGTTACTATGAGCCAAAAGCTACAATAATCAATACATGATGGTGACTATGTCAGTAAAGTTATTTTTGCTAAATTGTGTTTCTACCTGGAAAGTCTGAAAGCTTTAGTACTCTTTTTTTTTTTTTTTTTTTTTTGGGTAACTGAAGCTTGTTTATTCCTCCTTTTATGTGGACATTTCTCCCAATATCCCCAAAGCTGTAATTATAACATAGAAATAATAAGCACAGATCAGGTAAAGGAAGAGTTCACTGTTCATTTTACAACAGACATTTAATTAAGATATTATCAATAAAATTTTCGGGGGGAATTTAAGTAAATTTGAAATTCCCGTATCAGAACTCCAAGCACAGTATTCTCAAGTCAGTATTTTCTTGGATCTATACACCAATACAAAAGGCCACAAGGTGGTTGCAAGTATCCACAGTAGCTGAAAAGAGAAAGCTGTCTAATTTAAATGAGCCACAGTCATTTCTGGATAATAATCAATTTCATTGTCTTTCGGTTGTAGGTAACAAATGGGCTATAAATGATAAACAAAAAATTCATTGTTCTGCCCCCTTCCAAGAATTAAAGTTAAAAGCTTATTATAACATAAGCATTGGATGGTATACAAGTGCAAGGACGAAGACAAAATAGAGAGAATTGTTAAAACCATTTAAAAATCAGACTCAACAGTGACAGTGGCAATTTAAATCTCAGAAAATCGCAATGTGATTAAGATTTTCACTCTATTATATTTTTATTTGCAGCAACTACTATTTGCAGTGTATTTTTAGAACTTCTGTATTTTAAAATGGTATATAACAACAACAAAGAAAAAAACAAGAAAGTGAAAATCTTAAAGAGAAGCAGAAAGCAACTAAGCCAAGCATTTCTTACTGCATAAACATTATTAATGACAAGTTTCCACCTTAGCAATTGATTATAAATCAATTCTCTCAGGTTATTGCAATAACTTTAAAAAACAGATTTAGACTGAAACAATTTTTACAACTAGATATGTGCATTTCTAATAAATAAAATTTGTATCTCTATTAAACAATTTAAAAATATTTTCCAAAAATGTATGCTATAAGTTGGCCTTAATTCTGACTATTCAGTAATTACAAATGATAAAATCGAGATGTATTTAATAATCTAATACCATAAATGACCAAATGAAGGCTCTAATGAGGTATTTTTATTATAAATGAAAGAAAAAACAATGCTGACAATCTCAGGATTTAGAAAAGAAGAGGGTGCAGATATAGGCAGGACTGCCCTAACAAAAAATATAATTAACAAAACAAAACAAATCCCCCACAAAACAATTACCTCAGGTGATGCAAATCCTAAGTATTCCCAGTCCCATGTTCCACCAGCAAAGCTACAAAGAAATCAGACACGCCATTTGATTTATTATCAGTACTTCAAAGTACAAACAATCAGACCCTTACCCTTTGAGCATTACTTTTAGTTCCTCTGCTGGAATTGGAACTTGCTTAACCAAAGTGGATCAACTATAAAATATAATTAAAATGATACATTCATTTTTTTCTTTCAAATTCTAAGTTACTTTATGTTCATGTAAAATGGTTGGAAAATAAAAATCACCATGCTATAACAGAGTATTTTATGACTGCTTTTATTTTTAAATTATAAATGTTTATGTGAAAACAGGGTCAAAGGAAATTGTAATGCTCATAATTATCATGAATAAAATAGGAATATTTCAATTAATAATGGCATTAGTAGTATAAATATCTGAAAACAACCAAAACTCAACTGCTCTTTAATGGATGAGTATGGATCACTTAAATAACTTTACTAATGCAGATCATTAAATAACTTTATTTACTACTAATTTCTCCACAACCTCTTATAAATATGACCACGACAAGTTGGCAAGGTTTCCAAATTCTACAACATAAAATGTTTATGGCTATCATATAGCTACATATATTACATATTTGACACAGTGCATTGACATACTCTTTGAATTATGAGTTCACTGGAGTGTGAAATTCATCTAGCCTAATTTAGTGAGAAACTATATAATGACAAACAAAATATGAGAAAAATAGAAATAATACTTGGTGGAAATCACAAAAAAGAAGCCACCATACTTTCATTAGCTATCCATAAAATAGTTATTATAAAACCTAGTTAGATAAAAAAATAAACCTGCTGGCATTTGAGGCTGAGCTAGGATGATTCCCACAATGTGCATCCCTTTACCTGCGCCTTGGAGCTTCCGGTGAGTCTGCAGGAGCAACGCCCCGGGCCACGGATGCCAGGAATTCCTGCCTCTTCTGCTGGACGAGGCATGCTGCCTTGATGATCTTGTGGCGGGGTGTGCGAAGGTAAGGCCTATTGACTTTTTGGGCAAGGTCTTCAGTGACCATTTCTAGGTCTGTCTATGGTAGAGGAAAAAGAAAAAAAAAGATTATAGGTTGGGTGGATTAGTCAATAGCAAATCCAGTGTCTGCCTGGTTTCTCAGTAATAACTTTGTATTTAACATGTGTTTTTATTTCTCGCATTACAGGAAAATAGCACTCATTTTCCAGGCGTTTATAGCAACGTAGTTGGTATGAATCACAAAGAAGTAGTGAGTATACCAGCTGTGTACAAAGAATTTATAAATTGTCTACGTAAAAAAACACTAATAAACTTCAAGTCAAGTCATTGTACATGCAAATGCATGGCATGTGGTGCAGGCTACATTTAAATGCTGGAAGAATTTGAAGCAAGGCAAGATCCCTGTGATTTGGGGTTTGGTCTGGAAAGCTTTATGGAGAAAATGAATATTGAGAATTGAAAGGAAAAAAAGATATAAATTAGTAGAGGGCAATTCAAAGGAATGATATTAAAACTAGCAAGAGGAGAAAGTTGGGTGCAAAAAAAAATAGAGGAATATACAATGAAGTTGGTCAGTCACAGAGATGTCAGTTGACTTAGGTGTTTTTAAGTACTGTAACTTTTTTAGCTGTACTCTTAAAATAAACTGTTACTGCTAAATACCAACTTAAACTGTTAAATTTCCCACTTGATATGTACTCTTTTGTTTTTTTTTTTCAGTTTTGAAGATACAATTCCTAATTATGTAATTAGGATTAGGCTCCATTTCAACCTCAACCAGCTTAAAACAAAGACATAAATGTGGTAGGAAACATTTACATAGCTGAGAATTCATTCAGATCTGCAGAGTAACAAATTCAAACATAAGGAAAGTTTCAGTTTATTACTGGTAAACCGTTCTTTATTTAAAAACCATTCCAAAAATGAAAATAAAAGTGTTTACTAGAAACAACAATAAAACTTAATGAAGTGGTTGAAAAAGAAGAAAATCTGTTTTTCATAATAACTGCATTTAAATTTAATTTAAAAAGGATATCTTACTTGCATGAGTTCAAAAATTTCTTTTTTTGTGCTTTTAGGTTCTAAGAAAAATCCATAGGGATAAGAACACTTGAGAATGCGTCGAGTTTTTAAGAGCACATGAACTGCATCTTCAATGAAAGTGGTATCTGGACAGCCTCCTTCAGCTATGAAGTAAACCAAACACAGTGAAAAAAAAAATTTTTTTGCAATATGCTATTATAAAATTAACCAACTCCATTTTCTTAAAAAAAAACCCCAACAAACAAGGATCCCTAAGAGACAGTTTGAAGTAGCTATATAAGAGCACTTATCTGAACTAGACTAAAAACCTACATAACACACTCATGTGTGACTTGTATGCAATTATAAATGAAACAAACCCTGCCCAGGAGACAGATGACAGGAAGGAACACACACCAATCCTACATTCCATTCTCACTCTGCTGGCAAACAAATCTAGCTTTAGGTCAATTCAAAGGTCTCATGCTTTACTTAGTTTTTTAGGTTATCGCCAGTGGAACTTTGCTGTTTAAAGTTGGAACAAATGCCTTGCTTAAAAAAGACTTCTGGCCAAGATGGAGATGTTCAGCACACATTGCTTCCTCATACAACCAAAAGGACAACAACCTATTTAAAAACAAAAAATAACCACAACTGCCAGAAAACTGAACTGTATGGAAGTCTGACAACCAAGGAGCTAAAGAGGAAACATTCATCCAGACTGGCAGGAGGGGCAGAGACGGGCAGCCAGGGTAGAGAGGACATGCGGCAAGGTGGGGGCTGGAGGACCAGGTGGATGAGGTGGTGGCTAGCAGACCAGGTGGTCCCACATTTGTGTGTGGAAAAACTGGAGGAAGAGCTAGGGAGTGAAACAGACCACGTAATCCATGGTTTCAGCATGGGAAAAGAAAGCCTCAAAACCTCTGGAGGTAAAAACCTGTGGAGGTTGCGGCAGCAGGAGAAACTCCCAGCCTCACAGCAAAGTCTGTTGGAGAGACCCATGGGGGAGACCTAGAACGTACACAAACCCATCCACCCAGGAATCAGCGCCAGGAGGGCTCAATTTGCTTGTGGGTAGCAGGAGAAGTGACTGAAAGCCGGCCAAGAGCAGAGCAAGCAACTTTGTCCCCTCTTGGACCCCTCCCCCATGGACAGCATCACAACTCAGCGACCTGGGTTGCCCGCCCCCCCCCCCACTCCCCGCCGCCAGCGAATACCTAAGGCTCCGCCCCTCCCAGTGTAACAGGCCCGCGGAGACAAAGAAATATGGCCCAAGTGAAAGAACAGACCAAAGCTCCAAAGCTCCAAAAACAGAACTAAGCGATAAACAGATAGCCAACCTATCAGATGCACAGTTCAAAACACTGCTAATCTGGATGCTCGCTGAATTGATTGAGTATGGTCACAACATGAAGGAAAAAGTGAAGGCTATGCTAAGTGAAATAAAGAAAAATATACAGGGAACCAACAGTGCAGGGAAGGAAACTGGGACTCAAATCAACAATTTGGAGCAGAAGGAAGAGGTAAACATTCAACCAGAACAGAATGAAGAAACAAGAATTCAAAGAAATGAGGAGAGGTTTAGGAACCTCTGGGACAACTTTAAACATTCCCACATCCGAATCATAGGGGTGCCAGAAGGAGAAGAGGAAGAGCAAGAAATTGAAAACTTATTTGAACAAATAATGAAGGAGAACTTCCCCAATCTGGCCAAGGAAATAGACTTCCAGGAGATCCAGGAAGCTCAGAGAGTCCCAAAGAAGTTGGACCCAAGGAAGTACACACCAAGGCACATCATAATTGGATTACCTGAGATTAAAGATAAAGAGAGACTCTTAGAAGCAGCAAGAGGAGACAGTTACCCACAAAGGAGGTAAGACTATTAGCTGATTTCTCAAAAGAAATCTTTCAGGCAAGAAGGGACTGGAAAGAAGCATTCAAAGTCATGAAAGATGAGAACTTACATCCAAGATTACTCTATCCAGCAAAGCTATATCTTAGAATGGGAGGGCAGATAAAGTGCTTCCCAGATAAGGTCAAGTTAAAGGAGTTCATCATCACCGAGCCCTTATTATATGAAATGCTAAAGGGACTTACCTAAGAAAAAGAAGATGATCGAAAACTATGAACAGTAAAACAAAGGGGAGGGAGAGGGGGAAGAATGGGGGAACAGATACAGGGAATAAGCAGCATAAATAGTTGGTACAAAATAGGCAGGGGGAGGTTAAGAATAGTATAGGAAATGGAGAAGCCAAAGAACTTTTATGTATAACCCATGGACATGAACTAAGGGAGGAGGAGGGAATTCTGTGGGGTGAGGTGGCATGGTGCAGGGTGGAGGGGAATTAAGAGGAGGAAAAAAAATGGGACAACTGTAATAGCATAATCAATTATATATATATATATAGAGAGAGAGAGTGTCAAATTATAGTTATGCCTCTACAAAAACAACATTGTACAGGTATAAAAGAGACAACATTCTGGAGAACTGAATAATTAATGCTAGTAAACAGAAAACTTCAGGGAGATAAAGAATGGAAGAGTGAGGAGGAGGGAAGAAGAAACTGCTTTAGTATTTGAGATTGTTCTTTTCCAAAATATTATCAGAATATTAAGGAATATATATTCCTTAACTACAAAGAAGTCAAAATTAAGGCATATATATTCCTTAACTACAAAGAAATCAAAATTAAGCAGCAGAATCTAAATTCGTAAGTACTTTTGAAAATAAGATTATTCTGCACATCTGTAAAAAAAATTACATGGGTATGTACACACACAGAAATACATACCAGCCCAAAATACCTACCCTAGCATAGATATCTGAACCAAGATGTAAAAAAGAAAATCAAAACAAAACAAATAACCCTTCCTCATTATGATAAGTGAGAAGTGTGTGAAGTTGTGTTTCTTTCTTTCCAATCCTTAATTTTAATTCTTTTCCATATCTAGAGACTGTAGAACACTGAATAGAAACAGCAGTTCACATGTGCAAGTATTTATTGAATGTTTACTGTGTGTTAAGCACTGTTCTAAGCATTAGAAATACATTGGTGATGAAATAGACAAAAATTCCTGAAGAACTCTAGAACCTGTGAGGGTTCTCTTTTCAATTTTTACCATGGACAATACTTTAAGAGTTTGATATTGGCATAAAATAGTTACATCATTGCTGAAATCTAAGAACTAATAATTAATTAATAAGGAGACTAAACCACTATTAACACATATGGTTAACTTTCTTAATTGGGGAATTATCACCATGAAAAGGGTATCAGTACTCATTACTTTTATAAACTGGAGAAAATACACATGGAATTGATTACAATTTTAGGCTTAATACCTTTTATATATAAGCTCTGAGTATTTTAAAAATGTGACTAAAACATGTCAGAACTTGTACTCTGTGTGGTCATTGTGAATGAAATACTATATTCTGATAATGCAATCAGCACTCAATCCATTTTTAGGAATACTCTTTTTGAACTTCCATTTAAGAATCCTTATGTTTGCCCTATCTCATGTCTGCTTTTTGACTCCAATGTCTGTTATCTAACAGTGGGATGATTTCTCCCCAAAATCTCCTCGATTTCCATTCCACTAGGTATTCTACATTTTCTCAGACTCCTGGGGAATTCAGTCACACAACTGGGTGGCATGCACATCTTGCTCTGTTGACTTAGGTCAGGGAGGACTTCGGGGCCCATCCACCTTTTCCAACACTGGCGAGCATCAGCAGTAGCACCGAGTAAGCAAAACCGTGCTGTGTGTGTCTGCTAATAGCAGAGGCTGCACTAAGGGGAGATGAGGTAAGCCGGGCGGAAAATCTAATCACAGAGGCCTCAAATGCTAAGCTGCACTCTGGGCTTCAGAGAACTCCAAACAATGCCAGAATGAGCTAATGGAGATAATATATTCCTTTAAAAGCCTTTAACTTCCTATCAATGCAGTGACTGACTTAATAAGCATTGAAGGCTATTTTACATTAATTATCACACATGCCACTTATAACTTACTTTCTTTGAGAGCTCTACTCAATTGCTCCATCTTTTCTTTGGCTGTTTTAAGAAGGCGTTGTTCTAACTAAAGAAACAGAAATAAATAATTTATATCATTCTCTTCCTTTATTCACCACAGTGCAATTCAGTGCATTTGAAATGATTGGGGACATACCTGATAGCTATGCTCATGGTTTTTAAATCTTGTGTAATAGTGCATAAATCTGTCAAGTTCCTGAAACCGTTTGTGTTTTTTCTCAGCCTAGGAAACAAAACTCCATAAGCGACTTCAATAAATAAAAGTACTAGCTCTTAAAATTGGTTCTGTTGATCACTTAAAAGATTTTATTAGTAACAGATACTAATGCATACAAATTTCTTGACCATTTTATTGAGAGAAAATAATAACCAATATATACAAAGGCTCCCAGAACAAAGTCCGGCATTTGTATTCTTGTGACAAAGCACTGAATCCACAATCCCAGAGTGTAAGGCAAAGATGCCTCTCCAGCCCTGTGTTTAACATATCTTCAAGGTTTTATTGCTTATTACTATGGATTGAATTGTGTCTCCCGAAATTCATGTTGAAGCCCTAAGCCCCAGTATGAGTGTATTTGGAGAGATGGCCTGTGAGGTGATAAAGGTTATCAGGATGGGGTGCTAATCCCATAGAACTGGTGTCCTTTTAAGAAGAGGAAGATGCCAGAGCTTTCTCTCTACCATGTGAGGACACAGCAAAAAAAGAGAGCTGTCTGCAAGCCAGGAAGAGTCACTACCAGAAACTGAATGGGCAGGAAACTTGACCTTGGACTTCCCAGTCTCCAGAACTGTGAGAAATAAAGTTCTGGGTTTAAGCCACCCAGTCTATGATATTCTATCATGGCAGCCAAGCAGACTAAGATATTTATTATATGCTATAACATAATACTGTAATGTTGATATTGTGTTAACATTGTTTTTGTCATGGGGATGTAATGCATAGTACAGAAAATATAGTCAATAATATCGTAACTTTGTATGGTGACAGATGGTTACTAGGCTTATTGTGGTGATCACATCATATGGTATATAAATGTTGAATCACTATGTTGTACATCTGAAACTAATACAATATTGTATGTCAACTATACTTTAATTAAAAAATTGTTTTAAGTCATTACAGAGGAAGGCTGGGATACATAAGACTTATCTTCAGTATAAAATAAGGAAAATCTGTTTACAAAGCTCAAGTTTATAGAGCTATTTTGTTTAAATTAAAGGCTGTGCTCAAGTGTATTCAATTTAATGCCTCATTACATGAAGATGGGAAAAGAAGAAATGCAAAATACTTGCAATGGTATTAAGTGGCTTAGCCAGAAGTGTTGGCTGAAACAGTTCTCTTTACCTCCACGGTCATCTCCTTGGATTGCTCCTCCACATGCTGGATGACCTCATAGCGAGTGCATCTGTAATACCCGCCTGTGGAAGAACTATGCTTTTTCCATTCTTCTAGGCAAATCCAGCAAAAGTCATACTTGCACTTCAAAAGAAAACATATATGCAAACATCTCTCCATGTTAATATGCAAACTATTTTCTGATTTCTAGTCTATCAATTTGCAGAGATTAAACAATCCTGCCTGTGTGACCAGGCATAAATCTTAAGGACACATTTCTTTCTTTTTTTCATGTTTCCTCTGGATACCTTATCTAAACTATTATGGAAAAATGTCAGGTTAGTTTAAAATTATTGCTTTTACAAACAAGTTAAATGTAAGTCATAATATTAAGAATAATCTCAATGAGTCTTTAAAAATATCAAAGGATATTCTTTCCAAATAATATAAATACATACCAACAAATGTTTTAAATGCATGGTAATCTATAAGCTCCACCAGTCTACGTGAAAACGTTTGATAATTTTGACAAACTGGTTTTGAAACTAGGAAGAAGTTTAAAAGGTTTCTTAGTTGAACAGCTAACATAAAACCTGTTTCTCATTTTTAAGAAATTTTCAGTTTCTCAATAACCACATTCATTAGACAATGCCAAAAAATGAGCATTCTAGTATGAAAATGCGCCCCCTCCTTTTATTATGTTCTGGGTTTTAAATCAGAAAGATCTTCCCATTCCAAGGCTATGTTTTCTTCTGGTACTTCAATAGTCTATTTTCCTTTTTTTAAAAAATGTAAATCTTTGAGCTGTTTATATTTTTTCTGCATTTATAGTATACAGTATAAATTTAACTCTAGTTTTTTACACGAAGCTGTCCAGCCATCTCACTGCTATTTATTGAACAGTTCAGGTTTATCCACCGGTTGGAGATGCCTCCTTTACCATATACTGCATTCCCATGTATCTATGTCTATTTTCTGGGCTTGCTTTCTATTCTGATCCATTGATCTATAGATTTATGTGCTAGCACTGTGATGTTTTAATTATTGAGACTTTATAATATGGCTTGCTACTGACAAGGCTCGCTCCCCCTCACTGTTCTTTTTCAGAGTTTATATAGCTATTCTTGCTTTGTTTTTCCACATGAACTTTTGAATTAGCTTATCTAGATGCAGAAACAAAAACCAGTTGGCCAGTTGGTATTTTTGTTGGAATCTTTCTATCCAAGAACTTTGTTATCTTTTCATTAGTCATCTTTAGTGTCTTATAGATAGGGGTTTTAAAATCTCCGTATGTCATATACTTCATATACAGTACTTAAGTTTCTTTCTATATAAATGAGGTCTCCTCTTTCAGTATATATTCTATCTGGGTCTTGTTGGTATAAATGAAGGGTAGTACTTTCTACATCTTAATTTTGTAATCTGTTAGTTAAATTTTTCATTTTTTGTGGTAGTTTTTCAGTTGATTCTGTGGGGTTTTTAGGTATGTAATCATGCTGCCTGTAAAAAATAATTTTATCATCTTGTTTCTATTTTTTACATCTCTAATTTCTTTCCATTGTCTAATTACATTAACTGGTATCTCTAATTTGACATTAATAGTATTTGTGATGGAGAGCACTATTATTTGTTCTTGATTTTAGTGAAAGTACCTCTAGCTTCCTCAGAAATATGTTAACTTTTGGATTGAGTTAGATTTTTTATCACACTTAAGGAAGATTTTTGTATATTCCTTTTTTTTTTTTTCCACATCCTCACCCAAGGATATATTTATTGATTTTACAGAGAGAAGCAGACAGAAACACTGATGGGTCATCTGCCGTATGTGCCCCGACTGGGAATCAAACATGCTATCTAGTTATGTGCCCTGAATGGAATTGAACCTGCAACCACCTTTTGGTGTATCAGAGGACACATCTACAAACTTAGCAACCCAGTCAGAGCTGTCTATTCCTACTTCTTTGACTGTCTCATAAATAATGGTTGTTGCCCTAACCGGTGTGACTCACTGGGTTGGGCATTGTACCACAAAGGGAAAAGTCACTGGTTTGATTTCTAGTCGGGATACATGCCTAGATGTGGGTCCGCACCAGTCACAGCATGTGCGAGCTACAACCGATTGATACTTCTCTCCCTCTCTTTCTCCTTCCCTTCCCCTCTCTCTCTATTAAAAAAAGAAAAGAAAAAGAATGTTAAATTTTTTTTTTGGTCAAATGACTTTTTAGCATCTACAGAAATTACACGTTTTTTTCCATGGCTCTACTAATAGGATGAGGTACAGCAATTGCTTTCAAATATCAAACCATTCTTGAACTCCTGGAGTAAAATCCACATGGTGAATTACTCTACTTAAAAAAATTTTTTTTATTGATTTATAATTGACAGTCAATTACTCTTAATGTAATCTGCTGGACATTTGCTAATACCTGTGGGTTTTCACTCATCTACTATCATAATAGGACTTATGCATAAGTAAGATTTATCTATATTTTTAGTTTTAATAATCTTGTCTAGTGCTGATATCAAGGTTCCACTCATCTAATAATAATAATTTGAAAGTTTCCTCATTTTTAACTCCCAGAAACAGTTTAAATCACATTGGAATTACCTGCTCTTTAAAGGTTTTATAAAATTCTATTGTGAAACTGCCAGGACCTATATCTTTAAAGGGGGGAGATCACTGAAATACTTTCTTCTATGAAAACAGGTTTGAGTATATTTTCTAGGGTCAGTTTTAATAAAATTATGTTTTCTTAGAAAGTCAATCCATTTCAAACCCGAGTTCACATTATCTGCAAGAGTTGAACCAAGTTATCTCATTATTTTAGTTTGCTTTGTTTATTAAGTATTCCCCTTGTATCTTATATTGTATATTTGAACTCCTTCCTTTTTTCTTATGCAAGCGTAGTGGTTTATCTTATTTTTTTCTTCAGAAGCCACTTTTTGGATTTATTAGTTGTATTGTTTTTCAATTTTTAATTCACTATTTAAAAAAAAATCTTTCTTCCTTGTTTTCTTCCAGTTTTTTTGTTTTTCTAATTTTAAGCCATATCCTTAATTTACTCCCTATTTTGTATTGTTTTAAGTGAATAAGGCCATGTACATTCTGAGCATTGCTTTAGCTATTGCCCCCAGGTTCTGATAAAATAGTATTTTCACTGTCCTAGTTTCCTACATATTCTTTAATTTCCTTTTTTTCCCCTCTAGAGTTGTTAGATTTAAAATTCCTCAGTGAAAATGCCTTTGGTAACTTTATTATTAATTTGTATAATTCTATTATGAGTACACAATGTTGCTTATATTATTTTCTATTTTCTAGAATATTAATGAGATTTTCTTCGATGATTAATCGTCAATATTTTGTGAATGCCCCATAGGTACTAGAAAAGATGGCATAGTGCAGATTTTCAGGATACAGAGTTTGAATATAGCAATCGGATATACCTTACTAATTACGTTGTCTTCTCTATATTAATTTTTACTCTATGTGACATGTCATGAACAGAGAACTGAATTAAAGCCTCTGTGCTCATCTGTCTACTCACAAACATGCACTTACACAATAAACTGTGTGCTTGTTTCAAGGCTCTGACAGTTCTTTTGTTGCCCAGCATATGCAAACTTTGTGCCTGATTTGATACAAGTACCCTTCAGTACAGCTTTATTGATCTCTCAAAATTAATGGCAAAACTTTCTATCAAATAGCCAAATTTTATATTCTATGATAAGAAAAAGAATATAGAATTTGAATAATTTTTATTTAGTTGCAGCAAACAGTTTTACAGAGTCAGGTAAGAAAATTACTAAGTGATTTAAAATGTGTGAAATAGGTGAAGGGTTTAAGCAAACCCCTCCCTCCCCAAAAAAACCCCTCATAGACAAAGACCACAGTATGGTGATTATCAGAGGGAAGCGGGCGGGGGCAGGTAGAAGAGAGTAAAGCAGGGATAAATGGTGATGCATGGAGAACAGGCTATAGGTGATGAACGCATAGTACAAGTATACAGATGACATATTATTGAATTGTCACTTGAAACTTATTTAATTAACCAATGCAACCCCAGTAAGTTCAATAAAATATATTTGAAAATTTTACAAATGTATAAGAATGCAAAGTTTAATTTCATGAAAATTATCTAAAGGATAATGAATAGAATAAGGAGTGTTTTTATAACCTTATTTATTTTTACAGGGCCAAATTTCCCACTTAAAAAATGTTTAACAATTTGATTCCAGAGAGTAAAAACTCTATTGAATCATAATCAACACTAAAGCATTAATAAAAGTATACTACGATTTAGTCATTGTGTGAGAGCATGAGTTCAATTACAAATAACCTCTTTGCTGTTCTACCTTCCCATTTTAAAAAAAATTCCGAAAGTATGAAATTTATCTGTAGCAACCTCATTACTTTCTAGGTGTCTTCTATGTCATAAGAAGTATTTGTCAAGGGGAATACAGTCAATAATATTGTGATAAGATTGTGAAGTGACAGATGATTGCTAGGCTTAGTGTGATCATGTTGTAAGATATATAAATGTTGAATCACCATGCCATACACTTGAAACAATGTAATATTAAATACTGATACTTAAAAAAAAAGTAAAATAAAAAAGTTACTTGTCAGTTTTTTTGGTTTAGTGCAAAATACTTTTTAGAGAGTTTATTAAACAAGACTGTTACATTTACATAGTATGTAAGTAAATGTTTCTTTGAAATGCAACAGAAGCTTAAGCAAAAATCTGTTTAAAACAAACTACCTGATAGTATTAGTCTGATTAATTCATGGAAATGTTGACTCACTAAATACATTTTTATCAAGTATTTACTCTGCTAGGTACTATGAAAGAAATAACAATAACGTTGGACCCTACTTCTTTGTTAGTAGCCCAACTGCTGATTTTTATGGTGAACCTGTATTTTGTTATACATTTATGTAGCCTGTATCAAATTTTCCAAGAAAAAACTAATATGTATGTTGGAGATAAGACCACAAAGTAAATGAAACAATTCTGGCCTAATCAGCTGAAATAATAAGCACTTTTGAGCATTTTGCTCAGAATGCTGTACTAGGTTTTCCTTCTTGCTGCTTAGGAAATTATTACTACTGTCTCAGTAAGCCAATTTATTTATGCTAAGTTTATAGTTATCTAGGGTTGTAAAAATCATTGATTAACTGCCATTATTTTTAAAGTCATAATAATAATGATCATTGGTTTCAAGGTTAAAAATCAAGTAATACTTAGAAAAAAGATATTGCTATATTTTATCGGAATCTTCTTAACTATTTGCATTTCTTTCACATCCTAAATTACCGAAATTACACTGGCTTTCTTTTAATAATTTTAAAATATTTTTTACATACATGGCACTTCCAATGAAAAGAAAAATATTGAACTATCATTACAAGCTTCAAAAAATGTTCATAAGTGTAGGCATGGAGTAATAAAATATTATTAACGTAATTTGCAGAATATTTGTTTTAAATATGGTAATTTCTTTGTACGCAACTAAGTCAGGAGAGCAGCTTTCTAAGAGTAATTATTTATATTCATTATTTTGCAGCCAAGTAGGTCTTTATTGGCATTTTCATTTTCAATATAGTAAAAAATTAATTATTTAGTTGATGGTTCATTAGTGACCTAAAGTCTTCACACAGCTTTGGGTACTTTTATTATACACACATCTATATAGAGACCCTAAGGGTTAAGATTTGGACTTACGGGGATTGCCTGGGGCCTGGCTGTGGCCTTGTGCTGCAAAACCAGCTTTGCAAAAGATCTATATGCAGTAGCACTCTATCATTTACTACTTTTATTTATACATACACTAAACTCTCAGGATCCTCATTGGGGAAGGTGACTGGCAGGGAAGGACGCAGGCATTTCTGACTTTCTGGCCATATACCACTGAATCCTTATTCTTAACATTCAACGTGAGTGTAAAATTTAGCAATATAAATCAATACGTAAGTTATTCAACAAAGAAAGTAGAATGCAGTCTCCTAGAATCCATCTGAAACCCCAAAAGATTTTTATGTTTACATCATTTCTTCTCTGGATTATAATCAAATTAGGATTCTGACTGCAAAACATTGAAAATCCTCTTTAATTTCTTACCTTTGCGCACTGCATGTGATTGCATCCCTCGTTCTTCTGTATTGGAGACTTACAGTTGGCACAAGGCTTGGAGTTAGTTAACAACCAGAGACAGTTGGCAGCATCCTCATAAGCTTCACTAACTCCCACAACTTTTGGATATTAAACACAAACACAAAAATAAATGATTTAGTGTATAATCACAGGAGAATAAAACCCAAAGTGTTCTTTGCAAGTTGCCTCTCAATTTTAATCATAGTCTTTATTTTTCTATTAGGTTCTATGGCAAAATTTTTAAATTGCTTCATTTTAAATGGCGTGATTATAGGATAAGAAGCTGCATTCCAGAGCTCTATTTATGAAACCTGATTTAAAGGAGATTTTTCTCTAAATTTGTGTCCAAATAAACTGGGGAAGAAAAAAACCAAAGTTTTAAAAAAATATTATCTTATTATCTGCTTAAAATAACCATTGCAAAGAAAATTATAGGAAGAATGGTTATTTTAGACAATAATTTCTGGAATACACCAGTTGTACATATAATTGCCATAAAGTCTTCCTCATAGTAAAAAACATGAAAATCATATTGAAATATGAACCCTTTTTTATACCTGTAATTATTTCAGATAAGCTAAAGATAAATCCAATGTGGACATGTCTAAAATTAAACTTATCACTGGCCCCAAACTTGCTCCTTTCTCTATCCCCTGCCCTGGCAAATGATATGATCAGCGGAGTCAATCCAGAAGAGTGTGATATTGGACACACCCTTCTCTTTCTCTCACCCAAGTCCCATTGATTCTGCCTCTTCTTCATATTGTTTCTCTCCAATTCCAATTTTATTGCTTTAGTTAGAGTCCTTTACACCTCTTGCCTAGACAATTAAAACAAAGAAAACCAACATATCTCCTCAGCACCATCTCCCTCCTCCCAATCCCCACAATATATCCTAGATAGTCATCTCTTTAAAATACAAATCCACTTTAGATCTTTTAGTGCTCCCCACTGACAACTACTGACTACAAAGCACTGTTTTTCATTCTACATAGCAAAGAAAAACAACAGTAACAATGAATTGATCAGACTCCATTCCAGTTCAAAATCCACTTGGTAGATGATAGTTTGATTAGCATGCTAGTGGAGAGAATTATGAGATCCTTGGTGGAAAAGAGGAGTTTCAGAAGGAACTTACTACTAAACATATGGTCAATAAGGTCAAGCTGGAGAGGTAACACCATTTACAAAGGGTATTGCTATAAAGCTAATCACTAAGTACAAATGTCTACTTTTGGTTTACATGTAGTGGCCTTTCTCCTCCCTTCAGTATCAACACTATTTTTAGCTCAGAGGCTCTCACATATTCTTATGACCTTTATTGTCCATTGTTGTAATAAATAAAGCACAAAGCCATTAAAACAAAGCAGCTGTGTGACCTCCAACATAACAGTGTTTTTCTCCCACCCTTGGAGAGAATGCTAATTAATAACTGCATTCTAGTGGACTGCATGAAGCAAATCATGTTCAGGAAATGACTGTTATTACAACAAAAACTTGTGCTGGAATAAAAGCCTTCACTTCCAGTTTTCTGAACATGATCATTTCATAATTTGCCCCCTGTACATGTTGTTCTTCATACCTGCAATACTGTCTCTCCCTTCAGTCTACCTGGTGACTCTTCTTCACTCGTAATGACTTCTGTACTCTTCCCTTCACTTCAGTTACATGTCTATTAAATCTTGATCTTCTTTCATTTATAATCTTGTGTGCTTAGGTCTCTTTCTAATATTAACTTCATGTAATCAAATATTGGAGCATAACAGAATCTAAGACCTATTAGCAGAGTCAACATGTATGAAAGTGAAAACAAAGTTCTTTTTAAAGACTGAATTCTTAAAAAGATGATTTGAATTCCATTAACCATTAAAATAATGAATTCCATTAAATAATTTATTATGTACTATGAGAAAATAAATTTGATCATTTTATAAACCACCATTTCCCAGAAAATATAATCATCCCTGCTTCTTGCTTTGATTAGACAAACTAGAGGCAGTTTCATAACTTAAAAACAGTATCTGAACCTTTATGTGGAATTAATTCTTTGATATGATCTCAGTTTACTTTCCAGTACTTTTTTAAATTACTTAGATTTTGTTGCTCCTTTTGAGTCTCATAACTCAGTTACTTTGGAAAACTGGGCATAAGAGAGAAATCTTTCTCATGAATCTACAAGTTTCATTGCAAATGTTTCTGCCAGATGTGAGAGCATGAGCCAAAGTAATAGTTAAAACTCAATAGAGCATTTAATCATGCTTTTCTTTTTGGAATATTATTTTTGTATATTTAGCGATGATGTTCTACTTAAGTATTATACTTGGCCTATTATTGTTTGCTTCAAGCCTCACCTTAAATTTCATAAACTTAAGTGGCCATCATATAGTCTACTGGTCAACACCTTTTAGTGTGGAGGACAACTGGGAACATTCTCTGCAGTCTTGGCTTTGTCTCCTCTGGTAGACCACTTCTCAGGTATACTCAGCCTCTTGACTCCTATCCAATTTTCTAAAGTTATTATTTGTTTCTGTATTAAAACCTTATTTGGAACTTTCTGAGGGTGATCTTCAGTTTTTAATTTGAGGTCTCCCTATCTCTGGCAGTCAGAAGTAACCATGTATATACATCATGTACACCATGTTTACTCTTCCATTTCCTTCCTCATCATCGGGATCACTCTCATGTGTAAGGATGTTCTGTCCTAGTGCCACCAATAACCCGGACTTACTGGCCAGGTTGTTCTCCCTCTCCTCCCCTAGTAAAAACTTATTAGTGGATATGGAATAATTGATCCAACTTTAAAATTGTAAGGGATAATTGAAAATAATCACCCATTTCAAAATACTTGCTTTACATTTCAAATCAAACACTTCTGGCCATTTTCTATTAAATAATTAAATGATATACTAATTATTTCTTGTAGTGCATTAACTCTTTTAGGCAACTAGCAGGTACACTTGATTTTCACTTATTTTAACTCCCGGCATCCATATCTGCCCTCCCATATGTATTGCCTGTCTTGTTCAGGGCCTTGCAGTCCTCTCACTTGGACATTCTAAAGTCTCAGAAACAGCCTTCCTACCTAGTGTTTCAGTAGTCCCTAATTCATCATCCACACTTCTGCCCAAGTGATTTTTCTAAGTAAGTATCTTCAGTTATCACTCTACTCAACTCCTTCTCGCTCCTTCAGTCTACCCTAGTTGTTCATCTTGATAAAAATATCTGATAGTGCCACTTCCCTGTTTTAAAAAATGCTTTCTGCGGCTTATTCTGTTACTAGGATAAATTTAGATTATGTGGCAAGAACCCTCACAATCTGGCAACACATACTTTTCAGTCTCTCAGGATAAAGCCAGACCCACCCAGGATCACATTCAATCCCAGCCCAGACCCAGTTCAGATTTATGCCTGTGGAGTTTGATCTCTCAGTGCACCTTCCTTTGCATCGGCTGACCTGAACTGTCTGCCATCCTTGACCGTGCCATGTTGCCTCACAGCCCTCCTCCATTCTATGCCTGGAATGTCCTTCCGATTCCGGTCTCTCTGAAGGACATCCATCAGCCTTCGAAATGCAGCTTAGCTTCAATTCTTTATGACAGAGCCTTTTCTAATCTCCTCCCTTGTCCCTCCCCATCCACATAACGTACCACAGGTGCACTGTTCTATCATAGCATTTATAAATACTCTTTTTTCTTAGTTTTGTATACAGTTGTCTCCATCTCTAAAATGCCAAGAGCATATAGGGCATCTTATTTCTGTATTTTAACATAAAATAGCAGTCAAAAATATTAAATAAATAATTAAGATACCACTTTAAAGTGTAAGTGACTTCTAAGTTTTCTCAGCATCTCTTCTAAGCTGTAGGGAACTTGTAAAATTTTACTAAACATCTGCTGACATATGTACTGAAAGTACCTCAAGTTCAAAATGTCCACAGCAAAAACTCTTTATTTCCTCTTCAACGTTACTCCTTCATCTGAATTTCCTAAGTTGACCAATGATATCATGACCTACTATCTGACCTAAACTAAAAATTCACTGTCTTACTTCTGGTCTCTTTCTCTTTCAGCCTATCCTTCCTAGTTGTCTCTCTTGATAAAGATATCTCTGATAACGCCACACCCCTATTTAAAAAAAAATGATTCTATAGCTTATTTGGTTACTTGGATAAATCCAGACAATTTAGCAAGAACCCTCACAATCTGGCAACACCTACCTTTCCAGACTCATCTCCTGCAATTTTCTCCCATGGACCTTAACTTTAAGTTCCACAGATATGAATAAAAAAAATGTAGGTATATGGACAATAACAAGCCATCTCTAATAGAAACGTAGATGTCTCTAGCTGGCAGAAGCAGGAAAAGAAGGCAAAATCCAATTGTGTTGTTAGGTGCTGTAGGTAATGGTATTAATCTATTTATGAAACTCACACACATATACAGACCCACATATGTATCAGGAAAACGGGGAAAATAGGTGGGTGGCAAGAGAGCAATGACTATATCTGGCTGTCAAGAGAAAGACATGATAAACCTGGGGGACAGGAACAATTTATGCAAGTGATTTTGATTTGGGAAGTGCCTAGCACACAGCAGGTACATAAAAGAAACTGTTGACTGAATGATGAATGCACAGAACAGAAATATTTAATCAGACCTCACTATAAAATATCCTGAGATTACCCATTTCCCTTAGCTCCTGGATAAGGGCATGAGCCTTCTCCTTCTCATCGTGTGAAAGGAACTTTGCTCATAAGCAATTAATAAACTGGCATTCTGGTTTATGCAGTCGTCTCTTCTCCATGGATCTGAATAACCCTGCGTCAGTGCACAAAATGATTCTTGTGAATCTGAAATGCTGAGGAACAGGGCTTGGGCCATGGTGTATTGCCCAATAATACAAGCGTGTAATAGGTCTCATGGCTGCCAGCCAGTCCCTCAGTGTTGCTTCAGCTGCTGACGTGCAAACCTACCTCATCTTTGCCTCTGCAGATATGCTAAAACCTCATTAATCTCTCACTGTCTTCAGGAGGATTCTTTGACATCCTGCCCCCCTCCAATCTGATTTAGTTGTTCTTATTTTTGTACTCTCCTCTTTGCCCAACTATACAGGGTGGGGCAAAAGTAGGTTTACAGTTGTTTGTATGGAAAATAACATAATTAATAAATTATAATACAAGAATAATCTATATTTCATGTATTCACAACTGCTATCATATGATATTGCAATTATCTGGCTGCTTCCCTTCTAGCCTCTGCACTCTGTGAAGGATGGCATCATCTTTATTATGTACTTTGCTCACAGAAAGTGTAGATTCACTGAGTGAATTCTTAATCCTGATTTGCAATGACTCAGACTAACTCCATTATCTAAAAAGTGAAGAAAGAAAATCCTAAATTAATTTTTATTTATATTAATTTGAAAGAAAATAGTTGCCATAAAACACTCAGGGTATAAAAATTATTATAAAGCAGATATATTTACTTGTCAAATGCAGGAACTGCTATTAGGAAGGCTAATTCAAACCCATTCTGCTCACCAGACCTATGCCCCACGTCACTCAATACAATGTAGTGTAAGTTTCCTCAGCTGTCAAATCAGATTCCTAATACTGGTCTCATAGCATTCCTGTGAGAATTAACAGAGATCATGTACTTACAGAAAACTCAGTAAAAATAGTTACAGACATGACAATTAAAATAAGTCCACAGAACCACATTAGTAAGAATTTACCTTGCCTTACTATTCACTGGAAGTTTCCAGGGAAGTAAGAAGCTTCTTCTCACTATGGATCATATATTTCTTCCCATAAGTACAGAGAAGTTAGCTGGCTCACCCCAGAATAACAGGGAAGGCTGTAGGAGGGATCTTAAATGAGACTTTTGTTTACCTTGTCTATCTTAGGTTGGAAAATAGGTCAGCTGGAAACATGCAACTTGTTTATGATTCCTTCTTGCAAAAAACCTGTCACCTCCAAAAGGATGTTGATCAAAAGGGTGATGTTAAACAAAGGAACTCTAGCATTAACAAACTTGAATAAAGACTCTAAGAAATAGGACATTATCTTTTGTATACTATTAGAAAATACATAGCATAGCTATCTAAAATTCCTCTTACGTTCTTCTGGTTTCATTTCAGTTATTTTTTGTAGCCAATTTTTCCATGTTGGGCAATCACAAGGCTCATGTGCTTCACCAAGGCACTCCCTAAAGAGGAAAATAGAGAAAAGGCCATTTAAAAATATTCATCATCAACACTGGAGTAAAAGAATAGGTAGAAAGTAACTCTTTCAACTTTAAAGGTGAGAAAACTGAGGCACAGTGACTACTGAGAGATGAAGTATTTCAATAGAGGAATTAAAAACGTGATTCTAAAGCTTGATTCCAACAGGTCAGTTTTTTTTTTTTAACCAGTATAATCATTTACTCATTAAAAAAAAATCCAAATAAATTACCTAATATTTATAATTTAGTTTTGTATGCCTTAAGAGCTATAAAATATAACATATTTTTATCAGTTAGGTTCTGCCCTAATACTTTAAATTCTTGCAACTCAGTGTGTTCCCCTGGCTAGCAGCATTACCTTTACTAATAAGCTGGTTAAACATGCAGAAGAGCAGGACCCACTAGACCTAATGATGAGAATATGCATTTTACAATACTATCACATGACCCTTCTGCATTTTAAAGTTTGAGAAGTACTGTTGTGTATCACATTTGCATCATTACTTTTACCTCCGAATCCCCAAGTAACAGTTAGAGCGATCTAATTTACCTTTGAGTTTGATGAATTCCCAACTCTCTGTTTCATTGGATTTTGGCAAATTTTGATTTAAATAACTAAAAACATCAATTTATCATTTGTAAGTTAATTTTATATTCTTTCCATCACTATATATAAATCAAACATTAAAAAAGGCCTAAAGCATTTACAAAATGTTTTAATACAATATGATGCTATATTCTATAGCACAATGGTAATTATTACAGTTAATAATAAAATATCATGTTGGGAAGAGAAAGACTCCATCTGCATTACTGTTACTTTATTTTTAAAGATTTTATTTATTTATTTTTAGAGAGGGGGAAGAAAGTGAGACAGAGAGAGTGAGAAACATTGATTGCTTGTCTCTTGCATGTTCCCCATGCCCTGACCAGGAATTGAACCAGTGACCTCTTGCTTTGCATCACAGTGCCCAATCAACTGGGCCACACTGGGCAGGGTGTTATTATCATTATTTTAAATAAAGATCTTAATTGCGAAATTTAAGTTTGTTAAGACACACCTTCTGACTCAGATAAGAGTCTTACAAATTAAGAAGTAACATTTCATTATATTAAGAATGTATCAATTCTACTTCATATCCATTAGGATAGCTACTATTAAAAAAAGAAAAATAACAAGTCTTGGGGAGGATGTGGAAAAACAGAAACCATTGTGCATTTCTGACAGGAATGTAACATGATGTAGCTGCTATGGGAAACAGTTTGGTGGTTCCTCAAAATATTAAATATAGATTTGTCACATAATCTAGCAATTCCATTTCTACATATACATCTAAAACAACTGAAAGCAAGGACTTATACTTTTATATCCACATTCATAACAGCATTGTTCACCAAATGTGGATGTTATATAAGCCAAAATATGGGAACAATGCAAGTGTCCACCATCAGATGAATAAACAAAATGTAGTATGTACACACACAATGGAATATTAGCCAGCAATAAAAAGGAATGAAATTCTGATCCATGATACATACATATTGTAATGTGGATGAATCTTGAGACATTAGAGACATTCTTCTAAGTGAAATAAGCCAGATACAAAAGGACAAATACTGTATGATTCCACTTATATTAAATATTTAGAATAGGGGAATTCATAGAGACAGAAAGTAGAATGGTGTTTACCAGTAGCTGAAAGGGAGGAAGGATGAAGATTGTCTGCTTAATGGATACAGAGTTTCTGTTTGGGAAAATGAAAAAGTTCAAAATGCACAACATTATGAATGTATTTAGTACCATTGAATTGCATACTTAAAAACGGTTTAAAGAAAAAACAACGGCACCAGTTACTTTGAAAATACTTTAATTTCCTTAAATTCCTAACATTACCAAACCTGGCATTTGGAAAATCTTTTCCATAAATGCAGTTTTATAGAGTTCTTCAGTAACTCAGTGGTAATTTAATAGTCATTCAAAAAAATACTGGGTTGCCCTGGCCAGTAGCTCAGTTGGCCAGACTGTTGTCCTGGTAGGCCAAGGTTATGGGTTCAATCCTCATCAGGGCACATATTAAGAGTCAACCAATGAATGAACGATTAAGTGGAACAACAAATCGATGTTTCCCTCTGTTTAAAATCAATCCAAAACATACTGGGTTGATTAAAAATGGAAGTAGATATATTAAATTTACTTTAGTACATATCAAAATTAACTCTTCTTTCCAGAAATGTGAAGTATGTCTATAATAACTGTTAATTTTAAATTGGTGCATATGTTACCATACACTAGTATTAGGAAGGTACCACAGACCTAGAAGCAGTGTTTCCTAGAATCTGTATGCCTCATGACTCATTTAAATAAAAAATTAAGGTGTAGAAAAGCCTTATTTATCTGCAGTACCTGAAACAAAACAAATGAAGTCAATGAAATAAATTATTTCCACTAAGTTTAAGATTTGCCCCCCTGAAAATTACATAGCATATTCAGTAATTTTTTTCCCCTAGTAGAATCAATACCAGTATGATTGGCTTTGTTGTTAGAACATTTTCTGATAGAACCAAGAAAATAATCACTGGAGAAAAAAGCCCAATGTCTTCAAATAAAGTCTGAAAATATAAATGCCACTTCTTCAAAAGTCTACAAATGCTTATCAGTATGCTTGATTCTCTGAAGCTGTGTTGCATTAGACAGCAAACATAAGGTCTCCTTTTCCAGAGTCTCACAGGATGACACAGAATTGCCACTTCCTTAGGTGCTAGCCCAATCAGCATGATCACTTCTGGGTGTTAGAACTGGTTGGCACAGTTTATAGTAGTTCCCAGGGCAATGCTAAGAGTGGGCATAGAAAGGAGAAGTTTATAAATAAAGAAGAAGCTAGAGCATGGGCCATAAATTAGAAAGAGCTAGAGGATGACATTTAATAAAGATCTTTGAAAACTAAGGCATCTGAAAAAATAAGGCTGAATTTCTTGAGTACAATAATAATAATGCTACTAGACTGATAAGTGATTGATAATCTGGATTATCAGTGTGTGGGGGGAGAGATGTTATTCTGAAAGAAGTAATTAAGATAGTGGGTTGTTCTGTAGGTAACCGAAACCTAAATTCCTGAAGAAAGTTTTAACCAAGACATCAATGACTAGTGACGAGCACTTTTGCCATGTATAATGCGCACCCATGTTTTTGGCCCAAACTTTCAGGAAAAAAACCCTTTTGTTTTAATTTTTTAATTCAATTTTTAATTTATTTATATTTAGATGCTTTTTTTGTATTATAAAGGAATTTTAGCATTTATTTTTGAATTTTTAAAATTCAACGGATTTTTAAAAAAATTCTTTTATTACTATTTTTTAAACAAATGGCCCCAGGGATAAGGGACCAGGGGAGCTGGGAAGAGGGGAAGTGAGGCCCCAGCCCCCCAACCCCTCCCCAACCACCTGTTTCCCCCTTATATATTTATAATCTATATAAAAGAACCAGGGGGTAGGGGGCAAGGGAAACTCCCTCAGCGGGGTGAGGGCAGCCTAGGCTCCTTGTCCCCTCTGGACCCAGGCTCTTCCGCCAGTCCTTAGCGGGAAAAAAGTATGGAATGCTTCATGAATTTCCGTGTCATTCTTGCACAGGGGCCGTGCTAATCTTCTCTGGAATATATGGATATTGTTACTGTTTTCTAGAGTTACACTTTTAATGCATAAGCATCAATAAAAGAATTAAAAACATTTATACAGTGATGGAATTAGTACTACCCTTGTATAATGTGCATCCTTATTTTTCCCTCAAAAATCTGGGCAAGAAAGTGTGCATTATTATACACAGCAAAAATACGGTAATTCTGACAGACCTGGTACCTGTTGCTGAGGTTGCACTTCAAAATGTCACCCAAAACAAATGAATGAACAGGAAGGGGAATTTTGGCACATGGTCAACTGAAATTTAGAGATACTAATAAAGTGGGTTCATACAGAAAAATAAGGTGCTTGGTAAGAAATTATAAAGGAAAAAAATGGTTGTCTTACCTAAAATCCTTAGCCTTGTCTAAATATCATGGTTAACTAATATCAGGGATGGCTCTTTCCTTGAAAATATGTCAACACGCACAACCAGTGGCAGAAAAATAAAACAACATGAGAAGTGAAAACAGCATTCAGTGTCTGTTTTGCAGCATGCCACTGCGGAGGCAACATGCACCTGGGGCAGCAAGGGCAGCCCTGCTTTTACTACGTTACTGCTACTTTAGGTTTTATGTGTTATTTGGTATGATTTCATAGGTTATATTTTGGGTTTGGGAACACCAGAAATTTTTCCATAAAATTAATGGTTACTTCTTTGCTTTACGTCACTTCCCCTTATTCTGCCCTACTTTAGGGTAGTGGGGAAAACCTGTATTTAGATGGGTATGCTACTTTGTACAGAGGACATGATATTTAAACAGGGTCTAAGGATCGAGCTCTACCAAATAAATAGCATCATGTTTTCATTCCTGGCCTAGAAAGAGTGAGGAATGTTCTGTTAGCTAGAAGGACTCTGGTATTTAAATAGCTGAATACTGCCAGTCTGGAAAAATCTTTATTTCCATAACCAGAGCTATTAAGCTAAGAGTTTCAGACTGATTATGTAAGAGAAGATGAGACTCAACTATTAGGCCACAAACAAGGACGACCTCATTTATTTTGCCCAGTGGACTCTTTAAAGAGTCCCTTTGTCTGTGAAGTCTACGGAGAAGGAGATGAAGCATGAAACTATTACTTTAACTCAATCAAGATTCATGATCCTACCAACGGAGTTATGTTATCAAAATCCTTATCCTGGGTATTGGAGGAAAACAGAACGAGATGATGACACTTTTAATGCCAAGACATTCACTTTCAAAGTTTTTACAAATATTTGACAAGTCTGCACATTCACTGGAAAGTTAAGTGGACTAGAAACCTGAAACTGATTTCTTACCAGGTGTATCACTATGATTCAAGCCTTCCTATCAGGGGTTCAAATCTGTTTCATGGTGTGGTGACACTACTTTAAAGGCATAGTTTCAATAAATAAATGCTCCACAGCTATGTTACGTTATTAAAAATCTCACTATTATTTAGAATATTCTTGCCAGTCAATTTTAGTGAATAACTCTACAATAATGTTTGACTTCTACGGATTTAGAAGAGGTGAAGTCCAAGTAATTTTCTCAGTTTCCAAAGGAGATACTGGTGATTAAAGGGACCAGGAGATATTCAGGAGAGAAATAACCACTATATCAGGTTAATTTTGAGTTCTCCTCCTCACAGATTAAGATTTTGGTAGCCAAGGAGTATTTCTGACAACAAATCTTTGAAGAGTTAATTAAGAGAAGAAAGGCTTTGTGTTAGTTCAGAGGGCAAAGAAGTAGTAGCATATTCTAGTTAATAAAAAGAAAAACAGAAGGGAGAAAGTCACGGACCCGTTTTGCACACTGTCTGGGGATAATATTGTCAAGATGAGACAAATCGCAATTATACAGGCGAAGGGGAAAGAGCATTGTAGGTTGAGTTAGAAAGGGTCCAGAACTGGCTGGTGGACAATTTATAACAGAAAGGGCTATCTTGTGGTGGGAGGGAAAGAAATGCCTACTCCTACTTCCCCTCCTAACAACGAATACATTCAGTTATATTCAGGCAGACTCATCTTGTGGGTAACTCTCAACTGATTCTGTCACATGCAGTTCTTAAAAAGAAGAAATAATTATTGCCATTTCTTGTAGTTGTAATCATCTTTAGGAATATATCTGAGCTTTTGGGGGAAAAGAGAAGCAAACCCAGAGCCCCATGCCTTTATTTTATAAAGATATCTTTTGCAAAGCTTCCTTTTGCATGAAGCAGATTGTGCTTCTCTTTAAAACACTAAAGAGCAGAATTCTACTTAAAATGTCTTTTAAAAAATATTTGTAACTTATGATTACAGGGAAAGCTCTACTATAGGAATAAGAGCAGGAAGCTATGAATGTAAAACAAAGAATGTGGCTATGTTCCAATAAAACTTTTTTTTCAAAAAGTGGTATGGACACTCATTTGGTGATATATGACCTAGAGTTTAGTGCTATTTAGGGATAATCAGGTGAAGAAATATTTTTATCTAATGCTAATAATGATTAGGGTAAGAAATCAATCTTTCAGGGTAGGAATATTTTATTACTATGCCTTTTTACTATCTAGCAATGCTACAATTCCATTTTGGTTTCTAATAAGTAGATAAAGGGTAGAGTATATAATCATCTAAAGTGTATCCTTGCATATATGATAAATCTGTAAATGAGCAAAAAGCAGAACATATACTATTGCTTTTTTGATCATTTAATTAAATAAAACAAAAGTTAATTATCATTGAATCTATTCTGAATACAGTTAAAATGCTGATGTCAGACAAACACACACAGTTACATAGCCCACCTATTACTGATTTATCATCAGTTCATACTTACTGTGTACTTATCAGACACTGGAAAATAAACAAAGACATGCAATGTAGTTCCTATCTAGAACTGTGAATTAGAATAGTGTAAGAGGGTTTTTGGTGTTGTTTGTTTGTTTTGGGGTTTTTTTTTTTTGAGTCCTACTTCAAAACCTACTGCATCAAAATCTTGGAGTTTGGGATGAAAATTCAGAAAAGTTGTCTTGGTAATTCTGGGCATCTCTGGTTAAGAATTACTGCTAGAGACTTTTATTTTAAGGAAAGAATTGAAACTCTAAACATTTTCTAAGCTGTGGCCAGCAATTTGATATTAGAGTTCAAGTGCACAGGCTCTGGAATCAAAAAGAGGTGGGCTCTAATCCGACTTCTGCCATATGCTAGCCACATAACCCTGAACAACTTCTCTGTGCCTGAGTTTCTTTATCTGTAAAATGGGTGTAATTACAGCACTCAATTCACAGCAAAGTCAGAACTCAATATATCAACGTATTTGGCACAGTGCTCCACACATACCAAGCACAGAATAAATGTAAACTCAATATACATTTTTTAAACTAATAAGAATGATATCAAACACTACAATTTAAAGGCCTGATTCAAGGTACAGATTCTCTTCAAAAAACTACGAGAAAGGTGATTAGATTATTTCCAACTTGTCTTGTACTGACCAGCAGAAGAGATGTCCTTTTCCGCAGTCCACAGCAGGAGCTCTGAGCAAAGGGAAGCTCAGTGTATCAGACCCAGATGTATTTGACCCTTGTTTCGTTAGTCTGACTGCTCTTTCACAGCCTGGAGTAGGACACCATTTAATGGCAGGATTATTTTCAACAAAGGCCTGTTTAAATAACAATAACAAAATACAACAATAAATATTTTAACTCTAAATTCTAGTATAGTGTGTTCCTATGTCAATTTACTTTAAAGCCAAAAAAAGAAAGAACAAGGTGTAGTCAGTCTCAGATACTTAAAACAGTACCAGCAAGTATGAAACAACTTTTTATTTAAAGTATAATTGACATACACTGTTATATTAGTTTCAGGTGTACAACATAGTGATTTGATGTCTGTTGATTACCACAACAATTCTAGTAACCTCTGTCACTGTACAAAGTTAATATAGAATTATTGACTATATTCCCTATGCTGTATATTATACCCCTGTGACTTAATTATTTTATAACTTTCAACTTTTTCACCTATCCCCCCAACCTCATCCCCTCTGGCAACCATAAATTTGTTCTCTGTATCTATGATTCTGTTTCTGTTGTTTTGCTTTGACCTTGATATCCACATATAAGTGAAATCATGAAACAACTTAAAAGAAGTGGCAATTATCTAGTAATGACATGATTTTTAAAATTTAAAGTTTCTTTAAAAACCGGGATGATATTGATAAAGTAAAAATGCAATTATTCACACAGAAAATGTGCAATTTAGAAATGTTTTCTCATACAATGTGGCACTTTTCTGATGAACATAATTATAAACACAATCTTATATGTGATTATTAGTTGCATTAAAACTATATTTCTAAATGGCACTCTAATGATACATAAAATCAATATTATTATTATGTTTTCTATCTAAAGAAACAGTAGAACTTCTGTTTTAAAAGTGTTTAAAAGCATGAGGGTTTAGAACACAAAAATTCTGCACAAGGAACTTAAAATGTAACTTTTAAATTGATACAAAAAAAGTAACTTGCATATGCTCTTGAATTACTCCTGAATAAAAATATAGATAGAAAAAAAGAGGTAATAAACAATATAATTCATTATATGAAATTATTAATTGAAACTGAAAGAAAACCCCATACATTTCTTAGTTGATGATCTTTATTTCTAAATATTTATATTTAGGAATGTAAAGTACAGTGTCTTTTGGAAAGCTTAAATTAGTACTATCTACTTTGAACATTATTTTGATCAATCAGTTTTAAAAGTACAGTAGGCAAATCAGTACACAGTTCTGAGCAACAGTTTTATTTCTTTTGGTAAACTGCTACTTTAGCTATTCACTTTTACTTCTTTCATGATTATAAAATAATGCTTTAGCTTGAAACTCTAATGCTACCATTCATTTATGAAATTTTTCTGAGACAAAAGAAAATTGCATTTCCATTATTCAATTCTTCTTGTGAAAAATAAAACAAATATATTAAATAAAATCTGTTGTTATAGGTTTCATAAAATTAAAATGACGGATATTGGACAGATAATTGCCAGCATACCTTAATATCAAACTGTAGGTATCGTTTGTCCATCTCCTTAGAAACTACACTTTCTATGATATCCACAGGTACAAGTTGGAAGCAATCATATGCAGGGCAGAAAATGTTGTGAGCTTCACCTTCTTGAATTTTCAGATTCAAAAATCTGTTAAAATTATCAATTAAAAAATAGGCAAAGATGTCATTTGTTTACGTCTAAGATTTTTTTCTTTATGCTTAATCTTGTTAGAATATAATTAAAATAACACCAATGAACCAGATGCAGAATATTAACTGTAATACACTGACTGATTCATATAATTCACATTGAACACTTACTAAGTGACCAGCCACTCATACATATATCAATATATACACACAAATTTGTATGTTTTATATATTTTTACATATTCTTGTTCTGCTTCATCTTTAAAAATTTGAAACAATTTATTTAACATTAAAAATTCAGAAATGACTGGTTTAGAAAGGTCATCTTCAATTCTCAATATTCTATGCCTTTTTAAATAAAAGGGAACAATCATACAGAATTAAACCATGCATAATTCAAGAAAATTTGGGGTGGCACTGAAATATAGCATGCCTTTTGAAGAAAAGGTTTTCTGCTTATATTTTGTGAAGACAAATAATAAAATGAGCTTCATGTCCTACTGCAGGCAAACTAGTTGAGGTAAAAAAAAGCCATCCTGGAAAATGGACAGAAACTAGTCTGAGGTGAATTAAATGGTTAAGAACAGGATTTTGAGTTAGAGAATTCCAGGCCTGCCACTCACAAGTTGTATGATCTTAAGTTATTTTAACTGTTCTGTACCTTACTTTTACTATCTGTAAAATGGAAATAATAATATGCACTTTTGGGGGTTATTATACTGATTATGTAAATAACATAAAACATTTGATCTGCATGGTGGCTTGCATGAAATAAAAATTTATATATTTTAGCAAAGGTTTTATTGTTATTCTTCTCCCCCACCCCGCCCCCCAACATCTATTACCCTTGGCACAATGAACATGCTCAAGTTTTTCCCATCCTGAAAACTTTTCTCAACCAAATGACCAACCCTATTTAGGTGCGCTTTCCTTTCACATCAAAACAGTTCATAATGATTTGTCATTCCTTCCTCAAGTCTACCCCATTCACTTCTAAACCCGCTGGCTTCTATCACCTCTTCACTGAATGGCTAGATCTCAACACTGCCATCAAGACTACCAATTAGTAGGCCCGGCCAGGCAGCTCAGTTGACTACAGCGTTGTCCCATTATTCCAAGGTTGCAAGCTCAATCTCTGGTCAGAGCACATACAAGAAGCAACCAATGAATGTATAAATGAATGGAACAACAAGTTGATGTTTCTCTCTCTCTCTCTCCCCCGCCCCGCTTCCTCTATCAAAAACAACTCCCCCTTTAGGCCAAACTGGTCAAGACTTCTCAGCTTTTATTTTGCTTTAACTTCTCTAGAGCATTTGACTCTGGTGAATAGTTCCTTCTTTCAGATTCTCTCTGGCTCCCAGAACTTCTAAACCTTTCCCCTGGCATTCTTCTTACCTCTGGTTGCTCCTTGTCCATCTCTTTTACTACTGCCTTTTACTCTCCTGGTCACTTATATTTTATTGTTCTCTAGAGTTTTTACATCATAACTCTTCCCTTCCTATTCCATACAATCTTCTTGGATGATTTAAGTACCCCTAACATAAACTACCACCTATATGTTAATGATTCTGAAAGTTAAAGCCCAGATCTCCCTTGTTAGTTATAGATCTTAATTACACACATTATTGTTCAAATATCCCACAGGCATTTTAATTTCAACATGCTTAAACTCTTCCCCACTATTTTCAATGTTTTAAAACTACACAGGCTCCACAAAACTCTGACATATTCCAATAGAAGGACATCTACACCTTAGTTACCAGTTAAAAATTATTTGTATTACTCTGTGTCAGGAAAAACAATTCGGCAGAAGGTTGGATAAAGAATTCAGGGCAAATGCTACAGCATGTCCATTCTCAAAGTGTGATACGTGGGCCTATGCCGGTTCCTGAGACTTTCTAGGGGGTTTATGAGGTCAAAACTATTTCCTCTCTTCCCCCACCCCTTCTCTTTCTACAAGATTTTTAAAAAATTAAATTTATTGGGGTGACATTGGTTAATAAGATCATACATTATTTTCAAAATGATATTAAGACACCATTTACTTTTGGTTAAAACTGCTGGTGCCACCCTAAGAACAGTAACTGCTTCTATTAATAAAACAAAAAAGTGGTATTGTTCTCTCCATAGTTGGTTGGAGCGTCATCCCGTACACCAAGAGATTGCGGGTTCCATCCTTGGTTGAGGTGCATACAGGAGGCAACTAATTAATGTTTATCACCCCACCCCTCACATCTCTCTCTTTCTAAAAATAAGAGAATCAATAAACATATCTGCAGGTGAGAATTAAAAACAGAACCTGCTGATGCGTTAGCATGAATCATGGTGGTGACACTGAAACTATACCAGGAGACTTTGTATTCTTCACTGCTCCATACTCACAAGTAAAAAACAAACCAACAAACAAACCATGCCCATTTCCTTTAAGAATGCCCTTGTCAGAGCAATAAAAGTTATTCATTATTGATGTACTAACAACATTTATTGATTATTTAATTTTATTAAATCTTAGCCCATGAGTACACATATCTTGAGTATTCCGTGCAAACAAACAGGAAGTAAGCATAGCGAGCTTCTCCTGCATACCAAAGCCTGAGGGCTGTCTGAAGGAAAGCCCTTAGAATTTGTCAAGTTACATGCAGACCCACCTGCTTTTATCATAGAACACTATTTTCTTTTGAAAGAGTGACTACAAACAATGATTTTTCAGACTTGGTTATATGGTAGACTACTTTTGAAAGTGAATAAATAAACCTGGCATGTCAAAGAAAAAAACTGAGGTTATTTGTTGACAATAGTAAAATTCAAGCCTTCAAATAAAACTTAGAATTAGAAAAAAATTCTTATTTGCTATTGTGAGCTTGACAGCTTTCCAATATTTAGAGACTGTTCTGATGAGACTGGTATCACCTAATGTGACTTTTTTACTATATTTGTGTATAGTGTGAAATATGTTAACACTGGAAGATCTGAATAATCCAGTGAATCAACATTTTCCAAATGATGTCATAAAATCATGCAAGAGTAAAAGAGCTATTCAAAGTACAACGCAGACCAATGGATTTTAATGTAAAAGTATAAAAAGGTCTATTGATGTGGTTTTAGATTTAACGCTGCAATTAACCATTAAGAAACTACCACTTGTTGGATTTTGATGTAAAGAGTATCCACACTTATCTGAATATTTCTCTAATTTTCATCTGCATATCCATGTTTGACCAAAGCAATACTGTATAATGAGAATACAGCTGTCTTCTATTAAGCTAGACATTAAAGACATTTGCAAAAAGGGAGAACAATACCACCTTTTTGATTTATTAATAGAAGCAGTTACTGTTCTTAGTAAATGTTATTTATGTTAACAGACAATGGGTTTATTATTATTTTAAAATGAATAAAAATACTAATTTTCCGTGTTTTTTAATATAGCATATATAGATAGATATCACCCATACAAAGAGCTCTTTCAAGTCCTCAACAATTTTTAAGAGTGTAAAGGGATCTTGAGACTAAAAGAAAATTGCTAATTGTAGAGTTCCCTTTTCACATGAGAGGAATCTCTTCATTTTAGTTATGAATAGATTCCCTGGAAAGTTGGACATAATTTACCTTATACAATCATGTATAGCTTAACAAGGAGGGATAGAGTCTGAAAAATGTGTCATTAGGTGACTTCATTCTTGTGTGAATATTATAGAGTGCACTTACATAAACTTAGATGGTATAGTCCACTACACACTTAGGCTACATGGTAAGAGTCTATTGCTCCTAGGCTACAAGCCTGTGCAGCAAGTAGTACTGAATATTACAAGCAATTGTAATGTAATGGTAAATATTTATATATCTAAAAATAGAAAAGGTACAGTAAAAATATGGTACAAAAGTTAAAGTGCGTGTACTTGTGTGCACACGCAATGAGGGGTGGGGGCGGGCTGTGGAGGGAAACGCCTTTGGAGAGAGAGTAGATATAAGGAGAAGGGAGAGGGGGAGAGAGAAAGGAAGAGCAGAGATCCAAAGAGACCCAGAGAGATAAAGCTTGGGATGGGAAACAGTAAGAGGGAGAGGAAGGAGAGGGAAGGGAGAGAGGGAGGAGAGGGAGGAAAAGGACTGGGAGGAAAGAGAGAGAGAGAAATGGAGGAAGGGGAAATTAGTTTGTGTGTGCATGTGTGTGTGTGTGTGTGTGTGCGTGTGCGTGCGCGCGTAGGTGGACAGCATGCTACATCTCCTCATCTATTTAAACCACTCAGAGGTAGCAGAAAATTTGGCATTGTAGTTGGGTTCAGTCTTTCCTTCCAACATTGCAAACAAACTTTTTCTTAAAATCCATTATAATGTTATGGGACCATTTTCATATATTGAATATGTGGTTCTTCATCGATCAAAACATTCTTATGTGGCACATGGCTGTAGTCCCCTGTTAGGATGCACAACTTGCTTAGATATAGTTGCTATGTGAAGATGTTTTAAATTTTATTTATTCTGAATGCATCAGAGCAGGTTTCATTACCTCTGGGGAATTAACCTACAGAACTGAGAAGACCTCACTGCAGATAGAATTTCTCTGTGAGCCATGCCCTGAATCCTCATCCAAATACAACTTCCACTAAATATATAAGCAGAATATGGAGTTAATGAATGTTAGTAAAAGAGAAAAATCTAGGGCAAACTTTACTTATACTTTTATCTTGTAGGTCAGCTTCATAGATTATATCATAGATAGGTTTCTCTGCTTATTATCATATTAAGGATGATTAATAACTAGCATTTATTGAGTGCCCCTGTTCTAAGCATTTTACATATATTAAGCCATTTAACAATAAAATGACAATAATCTATTAAGTACTTACTAGTACCATCATTTTATAGATTACAAAATGGAGGCACAGGGAGGTTGCCACTTAGCTAAATCAACAACTAATATGTAGCAGGAAGAATATTCTAGGCTGGGTAGAAAACAATAATTTCCCTTTCATTAAATTTCTTGGCATAGATACTCCAAAGCATCTGGTTGGACTGATGAGGTAAGGGGGTAGGGAAGTGCAAGATAAATGGAGGGGTTTTCAAGTTATCTAAGGACCTTGCTTCTTGGACAGAGGGGTGTCTTTTCTGTATGCCTATGAGATAGGAAAAGACTACAATTAATTTAAAAATGACTGTATCAACATATGAATCACCCAACCTGAAACTTGTTTTACTGGTGCTTGATTTGGCAAGAACTACCTGGCAGGAGTGCATAGGAGAATTCTAGGTAGGCTGATAAGGTACCATGGAAAACAATAATTAGATGTTCTAAATTTAAATCTTATCATTAACCTCTCCAGGCTAGTCTGTGATGACTATGGCAGATGGTTTCTATGACAGGAGTTAGGTAAGAAAGGTCAAGGAAGTTGAAAAAAATTCAAGTAAATCCCTGGCAGGGGTAGAGGTGTGTGTCTGAGCCTTCATATAAAAGCCAAGGCCAACAACAGCAAGCCTGGTAGAACCCAGCTAATACTTCCTAATACAATACAGTTAATAGCTCACTTTGGATTGTGAACTCTGACCCTTGACAATTAATTTACCTGAATCAACTATACTGATTGGATCTTACATAATTAGACTCTGAGTAGAGTGCAGCCTATGTTTTAAAATAAACAATCAGATATTTTTATTTAGTCTTGTCTTTAAAGCACTAATTTTTCCCCTCTAAATGAAATCTTGCCTCATACCCTGGTTTGGAGAAAAGAGTAAGAAAATGTACTCAAAGTGAAACTAGAGTGACAGAAGAGCAATCGGTGTTACCTACAGATTGGAGGGAGAGGGTGGTGGTGGGAGAGGAAGGAGGGAGGAAGAAAAAGAAGGGCTGGAGGAATTTCAAGGAGAAATGAGTAAACTTTTGGAGGTGATGGATATAGCCATTATCTTGTGGTAATGGCTTCATGGGTATATACATATGCCAAAGCTAATCATATTATTTATTTTAAATATGTGGTTTTACTGTATGCCAGTTACACCTCAAAGAAGTTGTTTCATTTGCTTATGTTCCTGCTCTCTCACCCAATGAGGTATTTCCCCAACTCCCTGAACTTGATACTCAGCACTCCATAAAAAAGAAGTTTGAAAACTTTCAATTTTTCAGATTTCCTTAAAAACTAATGACATGATTCTCTTAGGTCATCAATCAGCAGATTTGTCTCTCAAGAGAAAACATGATATTGTATTGCTCATTATAGTGATCTTCTTCATTTTGTTCATAAATCTCTTTTAAGAAGGGCAACATTAGAGCAAAGTTAATGGATGTGAGAAAGCATAAATCTTGGCAAGATAATGGAAAGAAAAATAAACATGAGAAGCAAAATAAATTTTCCATTTGTAATATATACTCAACCATGCCTAGCAGAAACATGTAACTAGATAAAAAAGCCCAGATAAAATCTGGAGTACTTTTATCACATATTTTGACTGGCTGAATCATTCGACAAACATCAAAATTTGAACTGATTAAAAAGGAATCTTAAACATCCATACTCTTACAGATTTTCAAGGCCATTTGCTAGTTACAAAAAATTCAAAGAAAGCATAAAAATAGATGCTTAAAAATTCTTGGGATATATTAGGTGTAGGCTTGAATTTTATATGTAATATAAATTAAGATACTAAGAAAATGTTTTTACATATACCTGCTTTGTTCCATAAACTACCTTACATCAAGCTAAATAACACAAATTACTACATTAAATAATTTTACTGAATTAATGATGGGAAAATGTTAAAATAAGAAAAATAAAATTCTTTTTTAGTAAAGTATATTTCAGCATAGCTCTGTAATCTATATCATTAAATATTGAAAGCAAAGAATTTTATTACCAAGTAACAGTGTTATCATGCAGTAAGAAATACTAAGCTGCATATATACTCACGATTCCCAACACCCTCTACAAAAGTCATGGCCACAGGGCATGTCCACTGGGTCTTCAAATACAGAAATACTGCACATACAAATGTCACACTGGAAATGAAGAAGAGTAATGATTTAAACAAAGTCATATGTTGGAGAAAGAGTAATACATTAATTTATTCATTAATTTAAGGTAAAAATAGTCTAGTAAGTATAAAAAGTGTTTCAAAGTCGTAAGGGTGAGTTAAATTTAGTGTATCTACTTTTGACTGAATGACAAATACGGCTATTTCATTCTAAATGATTGTGAAATTTAAATGTTTCAATACAAAAGTTAAACTCTTACATTTCAAATTTATATATTAAATTAATCAGCAACTGACTATGTATTTGGAAAAGGAAGTAACAAAAAACAAATCATTACAATCTATTTAGGTCAAGATCAAATTGCCTATTTCAAAATAACCACTTCAGTATCATGTCCTTCACCCTATACTCACCGCTGAAAATTTATAAAAACAGAGTGATTGTTTTTTCAATATGGCAACTCAGTATATTCAGAGCAGCAATTTAAGGATTTCTACCCAGGGAACTCAGCTATAAAACTATGTATCTTCTAACCAATGACTTACTAGAAGCAAACTTTATAATGTTACAGATGCAAATTACAAAGGTAGGTAGGAATCTGTTTTCAAAGAAGGCCTAGATAAAATCTGCAGTACTTTTATCACATATTTTCAGTGGCCGAATCATTCAACAAACATTGAAATTTCCTGTAATAGTACACCAATGTTATGCCAATTAAAAATGCAGACGAAGGCAGTACTGTTTCTCAGTAACATTTACTATGGAAATACTATGTATCTAGATGACAAACTCCAGAAGCTTTACTAAAACAAATACATAATTATCTAAGTGGTATAAATGTCTTGAAGAAAATATAAAATAGGTTTTCGTATTCTTGGTTTAAAGTGTCTATCACAATATCAACTTTTAATATTTCAGCATGGTGTTTAAAAACTCCAAGCAGCTAGAGTTTTAAGGAGAAATATAGTAGGCGGTTTTCATAAACACTTTTATGTTTTATGTTTTGAAATGAAAAAAGAAAACCTTTGTTTTTCAATCTGTAATTCCAAGATCACAAAAATATCCTGTGATAACAAATATTTACCAAAGCATGAGTGAAGTAATGGAACCCTTTAAGAAAGGTATAGGGTTCAATTACAAGAATATGACTAGAGGGTCTATGAAACAATTTTAAATAATTAAAAGAGTTAAATACAAAACTATGGAAAGTACACTGAATACCAAATCATACCAAACTGGTGTCCAAATCCCCAGGAGATAGACTTATTTCATCTGGAGAGGTGACAGAAGAGCGTGTAGTTCTTGGAGTCCTTGGCGAAGGGAGCGTGTCCCAGGCATTATACCCACTTGGCGGTGGAGTTGGCATTTGAACACCTGATCGTTGGCAGCAGTTCTCTGGGTTGGACATCCAAGCTTCAAGTAATTTCTCCCTGTCCCAGTCTTTAAGAAAAATGGAATGAATACCTCTCAAAAAAACAGAATATATGGCATTTTAAGAGCTTCGTAATAACAAAAGAAAGTGAGGATAAATTAGAGAGATATAGGTCATTCAAAAAAGGAAAATTATTTATATAAAGTAGTAATTGCAAATGAACAATCAGGTATGTTATAACCAGTAATATTTTTAAACAGAATTTAAATGTTTATAATCTACCATGGATTACAACCATGTGTTGAACAATATTGTCAAAATTTCCAGTCACCTCTACTACTAATAAAAAGAGGTGGCTTACATTCAGAATTTACTAAATTCTTGTTGGCATAGGTTTGAGGGAGCTGTTTTACTCTTTCAAGAAAAGTATGTAATTTTGCAATTATCCTCACTGGTGTCAAGTGGTAAAATGATTGCACAGGTCACTATAAACATCTCAAAATGCCAATAAGTCCTAAAAATCATTTAATAAACAGCTTAAAAGCTGAATGAACTTCTGAAGGGACCACAGTTATAAATAAAATTTCAGTGAATTAGGTATAAATTCTGTATTAAGTGAGCTCCAATCTGACTTAACTAAAAAAGATTATCTTATTATCAACATTTTAAAATAGCCAAGTGAAGCATGTTATTATAAAGTCCAGAGCCATGAAATCCTAACCTTTTATAAACTTATATATCCAATTGTCTTGCTAGGTGTTTTATGCACATTATTTCATGTATTCCTCCCAAAAATTTTTCAATCATTATTTAGGCAAAGAAACCAACACTTGGGGAAATTATATAACCTATTTAGGTTCACACAGAAAATGAAGGATTTGAAACCAATTTCTGTGTCTCCAAAGTGTAGAACAATAAAGTGGAGGATCAATAGCAGTATAGAGTCAATTATAAACCATTGGCTCATTCTATACAATTTTACAGTTCAAATAATAGCAGCAGTGGAAATTTTCTATTCCAGATTTTTTTCAGTCATGTTAAAGTCAACCTATTTGATGGTTTAAACAGGATAATTATGACTCAGACATGCAATGACAATAGAGGGAAAATATTTCCGCCTACGTAAACTGTATATGCACAGAAGTATAATGGACAGACATAAGCAATTCTGTAAAGTTACAATATATCACATGGTCTGGGGGGAGGGACAGTAAGACTGGAAAGAGAGATTAGATTACAAAGAGTAAGAAGAATCCAACAACTGAAAAAAACTGCGTGAGTACGTTCCAGGAAATGTTGCTAAATGGACCTCAGGGTTTTGATAGGTTGTTACTTAAAAAGTTAAAACTACTTTTCTTAGAAGAGTGTAATTAATGCCTTGACTGGTGTGGCTTAGTTGGTTGGGCATCAACCTGCAGAATGAAAGGTCATTGGTTCGATTCCTGGTCAGGGCACATGCCTAGGTTGCACATTTGGTCCCCAGCTGGGGTGCATATGAGAGACAACCAAAGGATGTTTCGCTCTCACATTGATGTTTCTCTCCCTCTCTTTCTCCCTCCTTCCCTTTAAAAATAAATTTAAAAAATCTTTTTAAAAAATATGGTTTTCAGAAAGTCTCTATAATGTCACTTTTATTAAAAATTTAAAGGTTTTATTTATTTACTTTTAGTGAGAGGGGAAGAGAGAGAGAAAGAGAGGTAGGGAAACATCAATGTGTAAGAGATTGGTTGCCTCTTGCACACTCCCAACTGGGGACCAGGCCCACAACCCAGGCATGTGCCCTTACCAGGAACTGAACCAGTGACCTTTCGGTTTGCAGGCCAGCACTCAATCCACTGAGCCACATCAGCCAGGGCTATTATGTCTTTTAAAAAATTTAGTGATGTTAGAGAGAGTGAGGAAGGGAGGACGGGAGTGAGAAAGGGAGGAAGAGAGAAACACTGATGTGTGGTTCCACTTATTGATGCATTCATTGGTTGATTCTTGTATGTGCCCTGACAGTGATCAAACTGCAACCTTGGTGTATCAGGATGACAGTCTAACCAACTGAACTACCTGTCCAGGGCTCCATTATGTCACCTTTAAATGTCACTTTAATAAAGGAGTTAAAAAAATATATTATAATTCATATATAGAGATATTAAATATGCTAAATTTTAGTCTTGTCTACTACAAATACTTTCAGCAAAATTTCTGTTTGGATTCCAACACATCATTCATTTAGCAAGTCCTTACTGAATATCTTTTATGTGCCACGCATTGTGTCAGGCAGTAGGAATACAATGGAAGGAAAAATGAGGCACAATTCCTGCCTTCATGGAACTTATACTCTAGTAAGAAGAAACACATTAAGTAAATTCAATGCACTTAAAAAAACAATCATAATGTCAGAAGCAACATGAAGAAAGAGGTAGAGAATCCCAGTCAGGGAGGTCAGAGAAGGTGACTCTGGGAAAATGGCCTGGAGCAGACATCTGAAGGACTTAACTATGTAAAAGGGAGAGGGCAAGACATTCTACAAAGGTGGTACACAGCATGTCCAAAACCTTATGGCAGGAGGGAAGGAGGCATTCTCATGAAATTAAAAAGATCAATGTAGTTGGGGCATGGAGACCAGAATGGAAGCAGTGTGTGAGATGGGGCTGAAGGAACAGGGGCTAGGCCATGCAGGACTTTAATATCACTGCTACTATTAGCTTAGGAGTGACAGGAGGTCAGTGAAAAGGTGGGCACGGGGTTAGGAAGAGGAGGCTTTCACATTGCATTTGAAAAGATCAGTCTGACTATGGTATGGAAAACAAACAAACAAATGAAGAAACTGGACAGGGCAAGAGTGGATGGAAGGTTGACCAGAGAGCAGGCAACTGGGCAGTACAAGTGAAAGGTGATGACAGCTAGGGCTAGGAGGTTGGTTGTAGTGTGGATGAAGAGAAAGGGAGACATTTACAATTTGAGAGGTGAAACTGACAATTTTGTGAAAAATAAGATATAGGGTCTAAAGGAGAGGAAATGTCAAAGTTAATGTCCCAGAGTTACCCAGTTGGTTGGTTGGTTGGTTGGTTGGTTGGTGTTGCCATCTATGTACATAGGAAACACTAGAGAATCAGGTAGAGGTGGAAAAGCATGATTTTTAGTTTTAGACATGATGAGTTTAAGGTGCTTTTGAGATATCCTAGATGTGTTTTTATTTATTTATTTAAAATGAAATTTATTGGGGTGACATTGGTTAATAAAATCGTTCAAGTGTACGATTCTATGACACATCATCTTGCAATTTGTGCCCACCACCCAAAGCCAAATCTTCTTCCATGCTTTTAAGTAGGCAGTTATACATGAGGGTATGGCTTGCATTAAAAAGGTCTAGTTCAGAGGGAGAAATCTATAGCTATAGAAGCCCTGCGAGAAGATGCCATTTTGGAAGGAGAGGGAAGAGTGAGAAGATACGGACTACTAATGTTTAATTGTCTATAAAAGATGATGAGCCTCCAACAGAGCTTAAAAAAATTCTTTAATATGTTTACTTTAAGCACAAGCAAAATTAGCCTTGGTCTCAGATTTTTAAAATTTTACCTATTTTCTCATTGGGTAGTATTCAATTGCATAAGTTACTTTTTTACTGAGGAAATGCTCAGAGAATGACTTTGTATTCTTAACAGATTCCCTCTCCTTTAAAATTCAATTACTACTTAGCAAATACTGCCAAACATTTTTGTCTTCTGCTTAATGAACATCAACTTCATTACTTTGGGACTAAATTTGACAACAGATAATATAATCCTCAAATCTAATTTTTCCTGTTTAAAGCTGAATGAATGTTACCAAGGATACAATCTATGTATCTGTCAAACAGTTCAGTTTAATAGCTCCAAAACAGAGCCTGTCCTGGTATTGAAAGCAATTAGTGTAAATTATAGCTCTGTACACTGTCATTTTATTCACTAACATCATTTACCTCAGTACATCTTAATTATCAAATGTCACTGATAATTACATAAACAATATAGGAGATGTCCATTTGAAACCTGCATTAGCCTCTACTGTATACCTTAAGAGGGAAATGAAATATAGAACTCTTAAGTTATCCAAAAAGTTATCACAGAATAGATAAACGCTAAGTAGGAAAAGTCAATTAGATATCACTCTATTTGAATTGGCCCCTATTATGTGAAAGAAGTCACTTAAGAGAAATATCATGAGTAAAAATGGCATTAAATCATTTAATAATAGTTGATCACAGAATGTGTAAACAAATAGAGATAAAAATGTTTCTTTTAATTACAATAAAATTACTGGTAAGTTAACCTTAGATTCTATAATATTGTATCAGAGTTATGATATATTGTAATCTAGCTGAAAGTAGATACCTGTGGCAGAAATGGCTATAGCACCTAAAAATGCTACAGTGTAGAACTGCTGCTTGCCATTAAGTGTGGCTATACGCTTGAATTGTGGTTAATGGAATATGTTTGGGAGTGTTGTATGCCACATACAAAAGTGGCTCAAAAATTTCCCACAGTTATTTCTCCATGCACTTTCCCCTTTCTGACTGGCTGGCTGGAATGGAAGTAGGTCCCCAGGGGGTAACTCTCAGAAACTCACTTTGTGTAAGATTCAGAGTTTCAATCAGTTAGGGTCCTTGAATAAATGTGTGGAACATAGTCCTTGTCCCACTCCTAACCATAAATAGAAACACTTTGGACTATTTCATGATTAATAACTGTTTACTGCGTTTGAACTTACACTTTCCTTTCAGTTAGCCTACCCTAGCTAATACAACTGGCAAGTCACCGCGCCCCACTGATGGACAGCTTCTACTTTTCTGCCAACTCTGTATTGTTTTTAAATGTGCTCTTTGTATTTTTAAAGCTCAAGGATATACCTTGTGGTGCTGTGAAACTTACCCTAAAGAAATACAGTTTAAGGTATTCTGTATTTTTCTTATAGGTTTAAATATAATGACTATTAAGCATTCTTACTGGCTAAGAAGAAAGTATTTTATCTTTAAATTTTATTATTTTAAAAGCTATCCTGAATTTCTAAAGTTTATTTTTGACCCAGGTCTAAAGTTTTCTCCAAAGGATTTACTTCAACTTTATAAAGATGGCAATAGAGAAATGTAATTTTGTAACAAAAAGATGACTTTTTGAAAAATATGTAAGTAATATTTCACATTTATTATCTATTCCTTGTTACTATTTCTGAAGACAATATATGTCAGATATTATAGAAACAAAAAAAGTAAATAAATAAAAGTTGCCCTCTAAGAGCTCCTAGGTTAACAGAAAGGAAAAGCAAATAGACTATCACAATATTATATTCTAAGTGTATGACTCATATATGCATGGGATATAATGGGAATAGACAGGAAGGGCCTCAATGCAGACTTGGAAATAAATAAACAGAAACAGTTTCCTGGAAGAGGTGATTTCTAAAGACAAGTTAAGAGTGGGTAAATAAAGAAATGAGTAGACTGGCAGCCAGGTAAAGAAGCCTGGGTCATGAAGGTCTGCTAGAGAGTTTGGGCGATTTTAAGTCTGTGGAGAACCAGTGAAGGGTTTTTCAGCAGGGAGTGAGATGCTAAAATTTGCGTTAAAAAAAAAAGTCTAATGGTAGTAAGAAAAATTAATAAGAGTGAAAGAGGAAAGGAAACACTGGGAGACTACTGGGAGACTAACTTGGGAGACTACAGTTAAATGAAAAATAATAAAAGCCTGAATTTAGGTTGGGGGCATAGGAACAGGAATAACTAGGGAAGGTGGGAGGAGGATGAGAGATACTTAGGAAGAGAAATAGAAGACTAGGCCAAATGCAATGGAAATGGAGGAGTCAAGTATGACTTTCCAGCTAGGGCAATTTGATGAGTTTTGGTGCCCATGTATGAAGACAGCAGGAGAAATGATGAGTTCAGGCATACACATCCTTAGATTGAGGATAAAATGTTAAACAGGCATTTAGAAATACAGCCTTAAACACCCTATTAAAGTCAGGTTGTAGGTGTACTCTTTATTGTTCAGGTAGTGTTTGAAACCATTGGTTTAATTAGATAAATGCGCACAACTATGTTTCTCAGAGAGCATTCACTCAGTAGGCTCGTTTACAACACATTCTTATGCCTTATTCTCTCCTAATAACTTAGACTCTCTGGGATTAATCTTAGGAATCTCTGGTTAGTTTCCCAGGCAATTCCTATTTCACTAAGATTTGAGTCACTGGTATAGAAAGTGAAAAGAACGTCAAGTACAGAACCCCAAGAAATAACAATATTAAAGGTAGCAATTCTGGAGGATTGTATACCAAATTATTCACAGTGGTGATCAACAGATGATGAAATATGACTTTTAAATTTTCTTCTAGTCGTGATCACATGAAAAATTTTGGCAGTTGACATTCCATTTTAGTATAGATTTGATAAAGATTTATAGTTAAAATAGACAGGTAAGCCTCAAAAATGGCTGAACCTTTCTCTTTTTAAGAATAATTTTTAAATCAGAAAAAAACTGTCTTTGAAACAGGCCAAAATGTCAAATATCAAGTATGCCACTAAAGGATCCATCTCCACATGTGACAACTTCCAGGATGTCTAAGTGTCAGAACTTATAACAAGCTGAGGACTTCTCCTAAATTGAGTAATGTCTGTCAAAACAGACAAACCAACCAACCTTAAGTGTGATAGTATATTCCTGTGTTGACTCAACAATTTTGCTTTGTGCGTTTCATGGTGAGAAACAGCTTTTACATAAAATAAATTGATAATACTAATAACACAATTGTTAGGTATTTAATTGACTTTAGTAAAAATGTTAAAACCAGGACTAGGACTATGGGTTCCAACTCTCTTTCAAAGCAGACACATTTCTAAAATCAGACAATTTACAAGTTGATTTGGTAGCTTGATTTTTAAATAGAAAGTTCCTATTTCTCCTCTATGATTTAAAGCCAGTTTTTACTTCAAATTACAAAATGTTATGAAGATACTGAGTACTGTACAGTAAACTGCCCCCAAAACAGCTCAGACTTGTTTATAACAAACTACTTTGTTCTGGATTAAAATAATAAAATAGCCGTTTTTTAACTCTGAAAAGTTTCAAAAGACCTATGTAATTAGAAGCATGATGTGTCTTATTACCATGAGCTCGAAGTAAAGCTTCAGCAGTAAATAGTGGAGCCTGAAGCATGTCTGCTGTTTCCACAATAAGCATATCCTTCAGTCTACGAAGATCCTGAGGCCTTAATCCTTCATATGGCTTTCAAAAGAAGAAGAAAAACAAAGTTAAATCGGCTATTATACTTTTGGGGAGTTCTAAATGCCTATAAACAAATATAAGATTACCATTTATTTGATCTTTCAGCTTCAGTTTGGTTATTGATATTCAAAAGTATGTTTCACTATCATGGACTTCAAACTACTCTTTCACAAGTCTTTTTTAAACTGGAAAGCGGATGTTAGCATATATTAAAATAAAAGTACCATACTATAATGACAAAACCATCTTACTTTACAGTTTTGAAAATTTGGGTAATAAAAAAAAAAGCAATAACCCTATAATCCCACCACTGAGCAATAATCATGATTAAAGATCTCAAGTATGTTTACCCAATCTTTTTGCAAATCAATTGTATGTGAATATATGTGGGTTCATTTAGGCAGTTTTAATCATTGAACCACCAAACATTTACACTTATTAAGATCCTGTTTAGACTGCTGGTGGAATTATATATTATCTATTACTGTAGTTTGCCATGTATAATGTGCACCCATGTTTTTGGCCCAAACTTTCAGGAAAAAAATCTTTTGTTTAATTTTTTAATTCAATTATTTGTTTGTTTGTTTATTTTCAGAAACAAAACTGATGGCCATATTCCAGGGTATTATTTTCCATATGGATATCGTTATTGCTTTCTGAATTTACACTTTTAATGCACAAGCATAAATAAAAGAATTAAAAACATTTATATAAATACAGAATTAGTATTACCCATGTATAATGAACATCCTTATTTTTCCCTCAAAAATTTGGGCAAAAAAATGAGCATTATACATGGCAAAATATGGTAATTAACTTGGAGAGAAATAACTATGTCATACTATTCAGACTTCTTACAAATAAACAAATTATTTTCAATATGTTTATTCAAGTGTTCATCAATGCTATTTAGTTTTCATATAGATAATATGATAGATAATATATCACCTCAGGTTTTTCATTCTTTTGTTATCCTTTATCTTTTTTTCTTTGCTTTTAACAGAAAACATATAAAGAATAAAATCATGTGTCTCACCACTCAGAAACAATGATTGATAAAACACTTTTGCCTTACTTGTTTCTAGTCCTTTTAAAAACAAAATGAAACAAAAGAAGCAAAAACCTCATAATCTGTGACATGTTTCCCCATTACATTTCCCTAACCTTCCTCATCCTTGCTGTTGGCAATCACTACCATGAATCTGATTTATAGCTCTCATAATATTATGGCAATTTATCATAATACACATGTCACTAGGCAATCTGCTTTTCTTTTTTTTTATTCAGTATTATTTTCATTATTAATATTTATACACATATCTATTTCAATCCTTTGAGCACTTAAGCCCACTGCATGCAGTACACATAGAACCAAAGGCCACAGCTTCAAAAGTGGTAGAAATTCCCAAGTATCTATCAGAATCAGAATAACTATCACCATTTCCACAGACCTCTGGGTGATTAGCAAACCTCATCCATTGCAGTTGACTTACAGATATTTTAGAATTAGATTTTATCTTTTCTTACTTTGTTTTTTTTTTGTATCATGGAAACCATTTAATCAATTCTTAGCTAACCATGTGTGATTGGGACTATTCATCAGGAATGATTTCTCAGTTGACACAATAAGTTTCTTGTTCCTTAGATGTCTTCTGGCAGGAACACATATATAAGCAATATTAATGACAGAAAAGAGTAACAGACTTGACTGCATAAATATCTGCCAATATTTAAACAAAAATTATATTATTTTTAAAATGTAGCAAAGTGGCCAAGGCTAAAAAAGAGACAGACAGACAGACAGACAATACTCAATATTGGTAAGGTTGCAGTGAGACAGCTCTTCAATACACTGTAGGTAAAAATAAAAATTGGTACATCATGTAACAACCAAGCATGTATCATGAGTCTTTAAAACATTCATCTTTTGACCCAATAATTTTACTTGTAGGTATCTATCCTAAAGTATAATCATAAATGTGGGCAAAATTGGTCATTTGCAATGTTTGCTATAAAAGTGACAAAACGCAAGTAACCCAAATATACAATAAAGGAGTCACAGGACATCTACAAGTTAGAATAGTTAGCAGTCATTTAAAATGATTCCCACGATGAGTTTGTGAATATCAAGAAATGTTAAGGGAAAAGAAACCCTACAAGATATAAAATATCATTCCAGTGATGAAAAATGAAAAGCAATCCTGAACAATGTTAAAAGGATTATTTGTAAGTGGTAGAATAATAAACTTTTAAATTCTTCATTCTGCTTCTTTTTATACAGATCATGTTTTGCAGGAAAATAATTAATTAAAGAGTAAAAGAAAAATCACTGGAGACTTTAACGAGCTTCCAACAGTCACACTGCCCACAATCAGTCTGCAATGCTTTTCCTTTCAAAAATGATAGTGAAAACCAATGCAAAACACATTTTATATGACACTACATTAACAGCCTATTGGACCTTGTATATGTTCAGCTATACTGCCATAAACCTCTACATACATGGATGTCATATGAACTTAACTAGGAAAAAAAAGTAATCTAAATGATTCTATATAGGGGTACCATTAACAACAAAAGAAAAAGTTGCAATTACATCCAAACTATCATTTGAAAAGCCCCCAAATCATCATGTACAGTTTGCTTTTAAACTAATTCATGAACTACATTTTCCCCTGTAAAAACATAACAGGCCCTTTTATGGTTAAATTTGTTGTATTCACTCTAGTATAGACATTATATACTATGTACAACATTGCTGCTAGAAAATGAGTTCCAAATTCAGACTTGAGATTCCAGGCACCTCTCCCAAATCAACAATGAGGGTGAATATTTCTTGATATTTCTAGTGATGGCAAATGTGTATTTCCTGGTATTGTTTTGTAAATATTCTTTTTTCAGAAAGGCCATCATTCTACCACATTTATGTTGAGCAAAAGAAGATTTAATTTTAGAAATATTAACAAAGGGATAATATAAAACAATCTGTATAGATTAAGTTTCTTTAAAATTCAGTTTTAAACTTATATAGGTTAGAGTGAAAGAAAAATAGTTCTTGAAGGAGAAAGACATGCTGCCTTCATGAACACATAAGATAATCACTCTGAATCTCTGTAATAGAACTATAATTAGGTCTTGTGAAGCATTTCAATACATTGCTTAGTCCCAAGTGGGCACTAGCCCTTTCTTTTGCAGGAAGGATTCAAATGAAGGTGCCTTTCTCTTTCCTGTTGCAGAGATAAACTGCTTCTATTTTCAGATTAAACACAAACCAGAAATAACCTTCAAAGTAGTAAGTCCTGATTTAAAGAAAGAAAAGTGAAAATAATTTAAAATGAGACAGTGAGGATGAAAGTGCCTCCTTTGCATCAGTACATACTACTGCTACCAAATACCCACCAAAGACAGGCAAAACAGCCTAACATACAAACTGTTTCACTTTGATACCATGTAAAAAGTGACAGTATCTTCAAAAGCTGTTACAGAAAAGACTATGACAAAGGAATTAATGAAAAAAGTATGTTTTTATTTTTTCTCACAGTGAAAACAGCTTTCCTTTTGATTACATAGGTAAAACATCTTCATTGTTAAAAAATGGGGGGAAAACCAAAACGGGTATTTATTTACCCAAATATGTCAATAATTATAAATAATTTAAAAGAAAGATACACAGGGAAAGGAGAGGATATTTCCAATCCCTTTTAATACCAATCTCTCTTTAGCTGATTCATAAGCTTAGCCTGGGAGAGAGGAAAAAAAATAGTTAAAAGTCTTTAGGATCCTCAGACCCTTTCTTTCTTTTCAGTTTCCTGGCTTCTTACCCAGGCTCTTCCCATCTGGGGATCAAGACCTACGCTTTCCAGATCTGTACTTTGATCTAAGAGGAAGGAAGCTGCCCACACGAAGTTAAACCTTAGGCTAACTGGGGTACTCAGCTAAAACAAAGTCCAGCATAGGGGTTTTTTTACGAGAAAAAGAGCCTTCGGTCTTCCTGAGTTCTAGATTGGGAGGGGAATGGGGAGTCTTAAGACCACTTTAATACAGTGCTGCTGTTTCCCCTTCATTTACTCAAATACAATCATTCTACGCTTCTACACAGCTGGTTCTCTACGAGGCCCGATACTCATTTGTTTCTCTGTTCTTTCTTTGAGGTTTCAACAAATGAAAAACAATGCTCTCAGCCAGCATTCTAATACAGCACCTTGTTTTTCTTTCTTTATAGCAGCAACCATTCTTAGAAATTGTTTTCACTTATTTTTAAACTTATTTGTGTGCCTCTCTCTATGACAACATATAAGCACCTAGAAGGCAGGAGCTTATCTTTGTTCCTCCTCAAATCTCTAAGCTCCTAAAACAGTGCCTGGCAGAGCAGTCACTCAGAGTTTTGCAGAATGACTGAATGAAGAACTGGATTTTACCATTTATAAACTAATCACCTGGAAGAAAGGACTAAATTACAACGTGTCAAGAAGAAATTACAGAGATATAAAATATTGTACACTGTTCAGATCATTAACTGAATCAAAAACTTTTATGTTGGGAACATATATTTTAAGAAGTACCTAATTATGTCGCTTAATACAATTACATAGCAGGCCATGTAAAAATCTAGCCTAGGTAGAATACAAAAATGAATTTTTAAAAAAGCATTGTTTTTTGTTTTTAAAAATTATTATGAAACTCACATAATTTAAAATTAACCATTTTAAAGGTGTGGTTCAGTGACCTCGAATATAGTCACAATGTTGTACAACCACCAGCTATGCTTTGTTCCAAAACATTCTTATCACTCCAAAAGAAAGCCTCATACCCATAAAATAGTCATTCCCTACTTTTTTCTCCCAGTCCCTGGCAACCATTAATATACTTTTTGTTTTTATGGATTTATTAACTCTGGACATTTTATATAAATGGAATTATTCAATACATGCCCTTTTGTGTATGGGTTTTTTCACTTAGCATTATGTTTTTGAGATTGGTCCATATTTGTAGCATGTACTATTATTTCAGTTCTTTTTATGGTTCGGTATTATTCCATGGTGTACATATCTCACATTTTATTTATCCATTCATCTGCTGAGAGACATTTGGGCTATTTTCAACTTTTGGCTATTGTGAATCGTGTTGCTATAAACATTGGGTTGGCCAAAAGTTTTACTTTTTCTGTAAAACAAAAGGCACATCTTTCATTTTCACCAATAACTTTATTGATTTGGACATTTTGAGTATGTTGGCTATCTCCCTCTCCTGCATGGTATAATGTGGATTGTTCTCAATTAATGTCTCGATTTTATCACTATCAACTTCAACTGGTCTATGAGACCATGGAGCACTGTCCACGAAGAAATCTCCAACACAAAACTTTACAAACCACTGTTGACATGTTCAATCAGTCACAGAACCTTCTCCTTACACTGCACAACTCTTTTTTGTGTTTCAGCTGCATTTTTACCTTTCTTGAAATAATAAAGCATACATAATATGCTGAAAATGTCACTTATTTTCTTCCATCTTCAATTAAAATGGTGACACAAAAATTCACCAATTTTGATAAGTTTTTTAAAAGCATGCTGATATGACAGTTGTCACAATGAAATCTAACAAAATTGTTTCAGATGAAGTTAAAGACAACTAAGAATTAATAGAACTATCTTATGGAAAAAACCAAATGAACTATTTGGCCAACCTAGGATTTGTGTATAAGTATTTATTTATGAAAGAAGTACTTTTTACATTATGAAATAGTAGACAAAAATAAATCCAATATGGATTAAAAACAAAGGTTCAAGACTAGAAAAAATATAGGGGCATATGATTATAATATTAGCATGTAACAAAAGAAAAAATGTTTATACTTCTGAATGCCCTAAAAGTGAAAAACAGAGTATAGAAAAATACACAAAGTTCTCTTATAAAACATTAAGAAAACACAAGCAATCACAGGAAAAAAGGAAATGAACAACCTATTAACAGAATAATAATAAAAAATTCAAACAGGTACCATTCATTTGTCCAAACTGGCAAAATAAATAAGAACACTGATAATATTCAATGCTAGCAAGAATGTGAGCAAAAAAAATTCTCTAAAATGCTTCTGGAAGAAAAGTAAATTAAAATAATCTTTTAGGACAATTTAACAGCTTCTATTAAACTTTAAAATGTATGTATCTCATGATCCATCAAACCAATTTCTACAAATTTATAAAAAACATACTTAAAAATGTGTACATAAATGATGATGATCATGATTACAACAGCAAACAAATCAGACTACACCCATAATGAGCCAGGCACTACTCTAAACATTTAATGTATTAACTCATTTAAGGATCACTACCCTATGAAGCAAGGGCCATATTATTTCCATTTTAAGGAAGATGAAACTAAAGCAGCAGAGAGATTAAGTAACCTTAGTCAAGGTCACGTAGCAGCAAGTTGTGGAGCCAGGATATGAATCCAGTCAGTCTGATTTCAGAATTCATGTTTTTAGCCACAGTAACGATACAACTGGATAAAGGTAAGTATGTAACAACTAGGCAAATACTCACTTTAGCCTTGTTTTTAATGGCAAAAATATCTAAATTATGTAAATATTCATGGGTAGGTAAGAAATATGTCGATCTATGTTCTGACTTGGGAAAGATGTTCATGATCTACTGTTAAACTGAAAAAAGTATGTAAGCAGACCTAAATGTACTATATGATCTTACTTTTGCATTAAAAATTCTATATACATATATGTTTACTTAAGTCTGGTAGCACACAAAAGGAACTTACCATTGACAAATAAAGCCAGGAAGGAAGAATTATTTTACATTTTTAGCAATAAATATTCATTACAAATTTTAGGAAATGCATAAAAATAGAAAAAATAATAATAGTAAAAAAGTCATCGATATCCACAATTATCATTTTAGTATTCTTCCAATATATAGTTTTTCTATATAATTAGTGCCAAACTATTCCATAAGTATTTTTTAACTTAACACAGTTTATTATAGTTATATTATGTTCACTTAGATGTTAAATCTATTGATAATAAGTACAATTATTATTTTTTTAAAGATTTTATTTACTTTATTTTTAGAGAGATGGGAAAGGAGGGAGAAAGAGAGGGAGAGAAACATCAAGGTGTGGTTGCCTCTCATATACTCCCTACTGGGGACCTGGCCTGCAACCCAGGCCCATGCCCTGACTGGGAATCAAACCCCTGACATTTTGGTTCATAGGCTGGCACTCAATCCACTGAGCCACACCGGCCAGGGCTATTATTATTATTTTTAAAGAGAGGGGAAAGGAAGGAGAGAGAGAGAAGAGAAACATTGATTGGTTGCCTCTCATAGGCACCTCAACCAGGGACCAAACCTGCAACTTAGTCCTGTGCGCTGACTGAGAATTCAACCAGCAACCTTCCACTTTGCGGGATGACACCCAACCCACTGAAGCACACCAGTCAGGGCTGTAGCACTATATTTTATTTAATTATAAATTAAGATTGTATCTTGATAAAAAAGACTTAAATATAGTCATAAATGTCTTTTGGTTTAATCACATCAATATTATTTCTAGAATATTATTGTCTTCTGAATAAATTATTATATTATTAGATTATAATTTCAACTTCTGACTAAAGATCATGCATTGTCAAAATGTAGGTAGTACAGCAAATAGAGATGCTTAGACTTTGAAGTCATAAAAATCAGGTTCAGCTCACTTTGATCCTGACAAGCTATTCCATTATTCTCTGGTTTATCTTCCTCACTTACAAGAAGTGGTTATGCCCTGTCTGGGTAGCTCAGTTGGTTAGAGCATTGTCCTGATAAGCCAATGTTGTGGGTTTGATCCAGGTCAGTGCACATATGATAACCAACCAATTAATGTATAAATAAGTGCAAGAACAAACTGATGTTTCTCTCTCTCTAATCAATAAAAGAAGAAAAGGAGGAGGAGAAGGAAGGGAGAAGGAAAGGAGGAAGGAAGGAAGGAAGGGAGGGAGGGAGGGAGGAAAAGAAGGCAGGCCGGCCGGCCTAATTGTCATTTCAAGGTTACTATGTGAATTCAACAACCACATGAAAGTGCTTTGTACATCAGCCTCTCTCTATGTGAACTTAATCTGAATAATCATCCCTATAAAACAACCTAACTAAAGAAATACAAAATGTAAAGAAATGTAAATTTTTTAATTCAAGAAACTCAGTTCTTTTCCCCATTCTGGAGAATACAGTAGCTCAAAACTGCTGCGAATTCAAGGGAAATACAAGATAAACAAATGATTAAACACAAACAATAGTTATATAATTTCTTTTAGAATCAAGTTAGCACTGAACATCAAATCAGAATCATTTGGGGAGAAAAAAATTTATTGTCTCCTAATTTCTCTAAGAGATATCTAGCCTTGGCTGGGTAGTTCAGTCTGTTAAAGCATCATCCAGATACACCAAAGCTGCAGGTTAAATCCTGAGTCAGAGTACATACAAGAATCAACCAATGAATGCATAAATAGTGGAACAACAAATCGGCCTCTCTCTCTCCCTTCCTCTCTCTCTCTAAAATCAATTAAAAAAAATAAAGAAATATCTACTGATGCCCATTGTGCATCAACGTGTTAGACACTGAAAATAGTCTGTTGAATAAGACAGTTATGGCTCTAGCCCTTGTGGAATTGACAATGTAACAAGAGAGAAAGGCAATAAATAAGTAAGCAAATATATAAATAAAACAATTATAGTGCATGATAAGTGCTAAGAAGGATGAACAGGATATGATGGTAAAGAATAATGGAAGAAGAGGAACCTTGTTTAGAAAGAATGATTAAAGACTGCCTGTCTGAAGAAGTGATATTGAGCCAGCCAAGAGACATAAACTGAAAATACAAAAGTCTTGATGTAGTTTAGGTATGATAATTAGAGCAAGTGTGCTGAGAGAAAAAGTATGAGATAATGTGAAGAGGTAGGTATTAGTAGCCAGACCATGTAAGGTATTATATTTGAGCAAATAGTTTGGATTTTAAGTACAATAAAAAGAGTTACTAAGTGATTTAAGTGATATGACCTAACTTAAGTTTAAAATTGTCACACTGGCTTCTGTGTACAAGATGGGTTCTAAGGAAACTGGAATAGAAGGAAGGAGACCAGTAAGAAAAAACTGTTACATTAGCACAGATGAGAAATGAGGGTTGCGGGGGCCTAAGGAGGTATGAGTGGAAACTTGGAGAAGTAAATTGATTTGTTATATTTTTTTTGGAAGGAAAATCGATAGGATTCCCAGATTACTTGGACATAAGAAGTGGGGAAATCAAGAATGCATGCCTCGTTTATGCCTGAACAACTCAGTAAATGGAAATAATGTTTACTCAAACAAAGGAGACTTACATGACTGTTAATGTCCATGACAAGTTCAATTCCATCATAGAAAGGAAGAAAGTCATAATGCAATGGGTTGAAGAACAAATGGAAGGTGAGGATTTTGGTATGCATAGAGAATTCTCAAGTTTGTTTTTCTCACATGAAGATCAGAAATGTGGGCTACAACTGAAGGGGAACAGGGACAGGACAGGGGAAGAATGGTCAATGGAAAGGCTATTGAGCTGTTTTTGCTTTTTAAGAGAGGAGTCGCCAAGCATGTCTGTTGATAAGAGCAATCCAGAAGATAGGGAGAGACTGAGGAACAGGAGGATTAGAGTTTTAATTTAGTAGGATAGGCTTGGATTCATATCACACATCAGCATCTCCATTTATATGTAAGTAAACATACACATTAGAGGAAAGACTCTACTTCCAGGGTTTCTAGGTGTATTTTTATACTTACAGCTATGTAGATAATAGGATATTTAGCATGTTGCAAAGAAACGACGTAAACTGGACTATAAAGAAGAAAAAAGTTTAAAATCCGTATCATTTTTTAATTAAAAAAATCTTACCTCTCGTTTGTCTAATGCAGCATATTCAGCTTCTATTTCTTCAGCTTCGGGGTCTCGTGAGAATACCATCTGAGATTCCAGATTAAGGGCCAAATCTTTGTGGTGTTGCTTTTCAGCACAATCACAAGGAGTATCTTTATTCTCATTCTCAGCAAACAAGTCTCCTCCATGTTTTACCAAAAGCTAAAAAAGATTTTTTCAAAAACTTGCAACCATAGGTTTTAATAGTTATTTTCATATTTCAAATTTAAAACTATTAAAAATGTAATAAACACAACAAAATGCAATAGTATATTCCTGAAATGATAATAAAAAATATTGAGATACCAGTTGCTTCTCATTTTAAGATTAACATGTCTTGATTATCTGTATTAAGATGACTTCCTTCGGTTAAAAGTAACAACAGAAACACCACCACCAATTTCTTAAATTTTAAGAAGAAATTCTTAAACATTCTGTCCAATCCAAAACTAAAGTTTTATTTAATAAATAATGATAATTATCTAATGCTTTCACTTTTATAAATTTCTAGAAATCATTCTTAAACAAGAAGGATACCTCTGAAACAAGAAGGATACCGCTGATACTGTTACTTTAACCACTAATACCCAGATGACCTAACATAGTAGATTAAAATTTTCATTTGTATCATTCATTATCCAAACACTGAAGTGAAATTAGGATAAGGAAGTCATTGAAACAAAACTTTTTTCAATATTCCTCAAAATAAGTGATTGGAGGCCTCTGGTCAAGATGGTGGAGTAGGTATTAAGTGCAATACTCTCATCCTCCCACAACCATGTCAAAAGTACAACTGAACAACCATTACTGAGAACAGCCTGAAACCTAGCTAAACAGAAGTCCTACAATTAACGATATAAAGCGGCAGCCATGTCCAGACTGGTAGCGGGGTGGAGATGCAGAATGGACTGGTCTCATACTCATGTGTGGCAGATAAAAATTTGGAGGGTTGTCTTGGCTGCAGAGGTCCCCCCGTGAGGAGCAAGGGGTCCCAGCCTCACACCAGGCACCCCCTCAAGCCCAGGGTCCCAGTACTGGGAAAAGAAGCCCCCATAATTTATGGCTCTAAAAACCAGTGGGGATTGAGGCTGAGGGAGACAAAGGGCTGCTGGAGTCCGAGGTGCTCCTCTTAAAGGGCCCGCACATGGACTTACTTGCTCTGAGCTGCACAGCTGGGGCAGCAGCTCAAAAGGTACGAGGGACATAGGGGAGGAACTGAATTGTCTGGCATCCAGAAAAGGGCTGGAGGGCCAGTTTTCGTCTAGACAGAAGTGCTGGCAGAGACTGTTGTTCTTTTGATGAGCTCTCCCCTGACAAAGCCTCAGGTGGGCACCATATCTGAGTCTCCATCAACTTGGCTCACACAGCTCTCCCTGCCCTGGTGATTCCTGAAACTCTACCATTCCAAAATTTCGGGCCAGCCCAAGCTGTTTCCAGTGGCTTTTCCATACAAACAGCCTGCCTTGGCTCATGCAGCTAACTTTCCTAAAATCTCTGTCAAGCAGCATATGGCCCCATACCACTCACTAAGTGGCCCTATGCCTGGCACTAGCAATAGCTGGCCTTGATTCACAGTTTGGCCTTTCCTGGGCACCTCCAAGGCCAGCACAAGTAGCAGCTGTCTGCGATCACTTTGTAGCTCATGCTGGGTGGCCCTGGGCAGGACACAGGTGGCAGATGACCATGGCATGCACCTCTCAGGAGACCCAAAAGCCAGGGAACCTGAAGGACAGCTTCAGATTACGGTGAAGCAGCCCAATCATGTCCACAAGCAACACACTCAAGGAGTGGACTTGGTGGGTTACCTGAGCCCAGCTGAAGTGAGTCCTCTGCCATGGTTGTTCCTTGCATATCCTCCATGGGTGGCCGAGGCTAGCCCTCACTGCTGAACTGCCTAGGGATAAGCCCCTCCACTGACATGCCAACAGCAATCAAGGCTCAACTACAAGAGGAGAGTGCACACAGCCCACATGAGGGATACACCTGGAAGACCCAGGTTGGGTGACTGGGGAAGCCATGGCACTCGGCCCTACAGGACACCTACTACAAAAGGTCACTCTACCAAGACTAGGAAGTAGAGTAGCTCTACCTAATACATAGAAACAAACACAGGGATGCAGCCAAAATGAGAAGACAAAGAAATATGTCTCAAATGAAAGAACAGAACTAAAAATCCAGAAAAAGAACAGAACAAAATGGAGACAAGCAATCTACAAGATGCAGAGTTCAAAACACTGGTTATAAGGATGCTTAATGAACTTAGGGGAAAAGTAGAGAAACTTAATGAGAATTTCAACAAAGAGAAAGGAAACATAACAAAAAAGAACCAGTCATAAATGAGAATATAATAACTGAAATGAAAATTACATTATAGGGGATAAACACTAGAGTAGGTGAAGCAGGGAATCAAATCAGTGATTTGGAAGTAGAAAACATCCCATTAGAACAGCCAAAAGAAAAAATTTTTTTAAAAAATGAGGATAATATAAGGAGCCTCTGGGACAACTTTAAGTGTACCAATATTCGCATCACAGGGGTGCCAGTAGGAGAAGAGAGAGAGCAAGACATTGAAACCATATTTGAGAAAATAACAACAGAAAACTTTCTTAACCTGGTGAGGGAACTAGGCATACATGTCCAGGAAGCACAGATAGTCCCAAACAAGATGAACTCAAAGAGGCCACACCATGACACATAATAAAATGTCAACAGTTAAAGACAAAGGGAGAATCACAAAAACAGCAAGAGAAAAGCAGTTATCAGACTCCCCTAAGACTGTCAGCTGATTTCTCAAGCCAGAAGGGACCGGCAAGAAAAATCCAAATTGATGAAAAGCAAGGACCTACCACCTGGACTGCCCTACCTAGCAAAGCTATCATTTAGAATTGAAGGATAAAGAGTTTCCCAGACAAGAAACAAGCTAAAAGAGTTCACCACCAAACCAGTACTATCAGAAACGTTAAAGGGTTTTCTTTAAAAAGAAGGGGAAAAAAGATAAAAAAAATATAAAATTACAATAAATACATGCAAGGGGGGGACCCAAAACTCCCCAAATATATTTATAAAAAATTATGTATTTATTCTTTCATGTTTAAATGTCAGTCACCTTCAACGCAGTCTCCATTTTTTCCACTGTTCAAACAGTTTTTGAACTTGTCAATTTTGATGTCTTTTCGTGCTTCTGCCAGTTTTTGTTTCATCTCTTCCACACTGGCAAAACATTTCCCTTTAGGGACTTTTTTTCATCAAGGAAACAAAAAGAAGTTGCTCAGGGTGAGATCAGGTAAATAGGGAGGGTGGGGCACAGGGGTCATGCCGTTTTTGGTCAAAAACTGCTCAACACTCAGTGCGGTGTGGGCAGCTGTGCTTGTAAATCAGCCATCATGATATGGGCAAAAGTTTAAACAGTCTTCCAAAAAAAATTCACTGAGGCCAGACACAGCTTCTTACAACAATGCCAGCTGGTACACTGATACAGATAGGCTCCTAGAACACTCACCTAGTGGGAGGAGCCCGTACTAAAGGACCCGTGGACAAAGCCAAAGTACAGAAGGACTGAGGGTGGGATGTAGGGGTGGGTGGGGCAGGGGAAAGTGGTGGCAGGAAAATGGAGACAGCTGTATTTGAACATTAAAAAATAAATAAATAAAAAAGTAAAAAAGAAAAAAAGAGACATAGTAAATATGAGATGTATAAGGCTGTGAAAGGTCTACCATGCATTTTGTTTTATAGTAAACATTTTTAAAAATTTTAATAGGTAGAAGGAGTAGATGCTAAAATAACAACTTCCCAAGGAGCTTCTCATCCTTCAAAGAATGGTATTAAGGCAGCCCTGAGGATGTCTGGGATCCCTCGGTAGTACAAGGCCTCCCACAGAGCCAAGAGCAACTAGATTGGTGACTGACTAGAGCAGCATCAAAGGGGGAAGTGGCCCAACATTCGCTTGGCAGCTGCCTGTCCAGGACTGCATTGTTTGTGGCATATGGGGCCTCGGGAAGAGGTGGGACGCAGCCAACTTCAGTGTCTTAACATCCCAGAGGAACAAAGAGTTATAACTGATGGAAATGTAATAAAGTGGTCCAAAGTAGATGTAGCCAGCTATGGATATTGTGAAACATACCATTGTCTTATTAGTACAGATGTAATTTTTATTAAAAATCGAAAATAAAAACATTAAAAACTTTAAAAAAAAAAAAAGCTCACTCACCTAGTCGGGGAAGCCTGTACTACAGGGGTCTGCGCCATAGAAGATAACTCCAGTTTTTGGGTCCCCACTTATATCTACCAACAACTTATTTTTTTAGATTTTACTTATTTCTTTTTAGAGAGAGGGAAAGGGAGGGAGAACAAGAGGGAGAGAAACATCGATGTGTGAGAAAAACATTGGCTGATTGCCTCTTGAACGTCCCCCAGCTGGGGACCTGGCATGCAACCCAGGCATGTGCCCTTACCCGGAATTGAACCAGTGATCTTTCAGCGACCCCAAATGGAGACTTGGCGCACAACCCAGGCATGTGCCCTTATTAAGAATCGAACCAACCTCTTGAGCCACACCAGTCAGCGTTATCAAGAATTAACTTTAAATGCAAATGAGTTAAATGCTCTAATCAAAAGACATGCTGCTGCTGAATGGATAACAAAACAAAACTTTCACGTGCTGTATACAAGAGACTCACTTCAGATTGAAAGACACACACAGACTGACAGTAAATGGATGGAAAAAGATATTTCATGAAAATGGAAATAAAAGGCTGTGATAGTAACACTATACCAGGCAAAATAGACTTTAAAACAATGACTATACCAAGAGACAAAAATGGACCTAGGAATTTCACTTCTAGGTATTTATCGGAAGAAACCTAAAACCCTAATCAAAAAGACATATACATACTTATGTTCACTGCAGCATTATTTACAATAGCCAAAATATAAAAGCAACCTAAGTGTCCACCAAGAGATAAATGGATAAAAAAGTAGTGCATATATACAATGGAATATGACTCAGTCATAAGGAAGAATGAAATCTTGCCATCTGCAATGATGTGGATGGACTTAGAGGGTATTGTTCTGAGTGAAGTAAGTCAAAAAGAGAAAGACAAATGCTAAATGATTTCACTTGTATGTACAATCTAAAAAACAAAATGAACTAACAAACCAGAAAC